TCTCCAAGACAGACGACCCAAGAAAGGCAAGTCGCAGAGCTGCCAGATACCGTATTTCATCTGTGTTTTTTTCCCCCACATTTCACATCACTGTATCCTGAAGTGTGCCTTAATATCTTGTTTCCTTTCTTAGTGGTTGATAAAGTAATAGCACATCTTACGATCCGTGGCGTCTTAGATGTGATGAGAGAGTCGTTAGGACTCCAGTTATCAGCGAACCTGTAGGTTTATGAATGTGAACGTGTAGGGAAAATGTCAGGGCAGATACACCCCACGGGTTTAACAGCGTGTAACTCTGGGAACAAGAAGGGGTGGCTCTTGCCCGTGACTGTTCTGTGTTTGGTCTGAACATTTTGCAGCAGGCCTGGATACCTGTGTTGCTCCTGTCGACCAGAACCCAGCAAAACGCACGAGGTACAGGGTGGGAGCAGACTTTTAAAGCGCCCTCTGCTGGTAAACAGCGGGTCCTGCAGGGACCTTACCCACCCCCCCCCGCCCCCCAACCAGAACACAGCTGCTCTGCCACCTTCTTCCCCTCCCTCCTCTTCTCTCCCACCCCTGCCCCAAACTTCCCTCCCCCAGGGACCCCCAAGGCAGGGCAGATCCGCATTGGAGGAACATCATCCAGTACCCCCCTTCCTACAAGAGGGGACCCCAGAAGGGGGGGACCCCTTCGTCAAGGCCTTACACAGAACTCTTTAGGGCTGAGGGGGGAACCAAGGGGCCTCCCCACCCCCTGCTGCCCACCCTCATCTCACAGGGCCGTCCAGCACAGCGGGCGAGCCGCACAAGTTTAAGCCTGCAGGTGCATGACTGAGGTCAGGACTCACACGGCAGCCCCTGACTTTCAAATTCCAGGACCAGATTCCATGTAAGCCGACACACACGTGTGCACACTTCTCAGGCGTGCATGGGCATAAATTTGCACGAACATCCATGCGCACCTGACCTGGAGCATTGGCTGCATAGAATTGGAGGAGATTTGGGGAGAAGGCTGCTCCGAGTGGACCACCGGGCTACTTACCTCCGGGAGAGCGCCGCTCTGCTCCCCAGCCGTGACCCTCAGCCCCACCCAGTCTGAGTCACATCACCGTGAAATGAAAACAGAAAGAGACTTGAATTTCCTCTTAGTCATCACCCTGACTTCCCGTCGGGAGCCCATTGGTGCCCGGGAACACAGCCCAGCCTGCGGAGGGTTTTTCTGACCCACATTGGTTTTCAAAATTGTATTTGGGTTGAATTGCTTACCAATATTTAAAAATCAGATAATTTTTACGTAAAAATATAGATTTCTTCCTTCGGTAAATTGGAAGAACTGAGCACGCCATGTGCACCTCTCCTTGGCCCCCGTGAGCTGGGGCTAAGACGCGGCCAGCCCCGCGGACAGGGCATGGACACCCCGCCAGTTCCCAGAGCCCCACGGGGCCTGCTGGTCCTTGACTGTTCCCGCCTGACCTCCATCTTCCATAACAGCCGCGGCTGCTGACAACTGACAGAGACCCCGAGCAGGGGAACCCATTTGTCCCTGTGGCCCATCACTTCTGTCCGGGTACACGGCCCCTTTCTGGGGGCCTTGGGTCATTCCGCCTCACTCCTTGAGGGTGTGCTGTGGAATTGCCCACGTCTGTAACTGCAGCCTTGACTCCGGGCAGCATGAAAGAAAGAGGAGGCTGGACCCTGGAGCCCCTGACGGCCCCAGGGGTGGGCTGTCTGTGATCCCGGTGCCCACCTGAAGCTCCCGGCAGGCCTGCACGCTCAGCTAGGCCCATCCAGCCCTCGGACCTACGAGCTGGCCCGTCAGTCACTGCCAAGGTTAAGCTGAGCAAATGCAGAAGTGGGGAGTTCGACAGAAGGGACACCCCGGGAGAGCAGAAGGGCACCTGCCAGGCTCTGCGGCTGCATCTGGATGGGCAGGGATGGAGCTGAGTGGCCTCTCTGGGGCTGGGCCCAGCTCTGCCCCTTGGTAGCAGGCGTCTCCCCCATCAGTCTGGGCTTGAGTTGCTCCAAAGCCCTGGCAGGGTTCGGGGGTGCTCCGAGGAGCTGCAGGCAGGTCGGCTCCTAGGGTCGGGGAGGAGCCTCTGTAGCGGAGGGGCTCCCAGGGAGGGACTGAGCAGAGATCTCAGCCTGGCATCCCCAGCCTCCCAGCTCAGCTGCGGTGGTCCCTGAACATCACTAGCTCGTGTGGCAGAGGCGTGGGGCAGCCTGGAGCGGGGGCGTGTCGTAGGTTGGCCAGGTTTACGGTGGCTGAGGTCACCTCCTCACCGCTGTCCTCAGGTTTTAATACTTCCACGTCTAGCAGTCACTCAGGTCTGTAAGAGTCCTTCGTTTATTAGGAGTATAGCACTGACCACCCACAGGGTGCCGGCGTCAGCGCAGGGCCCCGGCGGCAGAGCTCCCGGCCCAGGGGTGAGATACCCGTTACACCTTTGGGATACGTGGGGAGGGGTGCGAGATGGGGGGCTGCGGGGCTGTGGAGCCCCCGCTGGGCTCAGGGGCCCTGTTGGTGCTTCTGGGACTCAGAGCGATGACGGTCCAGTCATGCCTTCTAGGGGCTTCCACTGAAACGGGGGTGAAGGCGGGCCCCCCGGGCCTGTTCCCCCAGGAGAATAGGCTGTGTGCTAACGGCACACAGAGCCCCTCTGGGATCCACTGGAGGGGAGCTGCGTGGGCTTCGTGGACGAGGGGCCTTTGAGGTGCTCCTTGGCGGGCGAGGACGCTTTGGAGAGGAGGGCGCCGCAGGGCAGTCTGAGGGGACAGGAGCTGAGTCAGAACACTGGGGGAGGGGTGGGCTCTGAGGGTGGCGGCCGGGCCACCAGAGCCCCCTGGAGTTCAGGCTTGCGGGCCAGGCCCTGGGCAGCCACGTTGGGTCCAGGGACGTGGCACCTTCTGGTCCAGGAAAGACAGATGAAAGGGGAGTGCGGGTGGTGCCTGGTCAGCAGCTTTCCTCTGGGCGGGTGAGGTCGGCAGCTCACGGCTCCGGGAGGCCGGGTCACCATGCGACCACGGGCCACTGTCCTGGGACAGAGCAGCAGGGCATCTACACTCCCACCCTCCTCCACCTCCCGTTAGCGGGAGGGACAGGTGCCCTGGGACCTGGGGAAACAGGTCACACGGGGGTCTGGGCCTTCACTACCCAGCAGCAGGGGGCCTTGGACACGTCAGGTCATCACATCCTCAGCTCAGCTTCTTCTTGGTGTCAACGCTGCTCATCTAAGTAGAGGGACCTTTGTGGACCCAATGGACCAGGATGGTGGACTGAGTTGCAAACTGTAAAGTGGGGTCCGGGAAGAAGGGCAGATGAAGGAGGGAGTTTGCAAACTGTAAAGTGGGGTTCTCGTGTCAGGGAAGAAGGGTTGAGAGGGAGTGACTACTTTGCAAACTGTGAAGTGAGGTTTTGGTGTCCAGGAAGAAGGACTGTTGACGAAGGGAGTTTGTAAACTGTAAAGGAGGGTTCTGGTGTCCTGGGCCGCTGGGATGGGGGGGACGAATTGGTGACCTCTAAAGTGGGGTCTGGCATCAGGGAAGGGGGGCTGGTGGGAGGGCCACTTTGCAAACTGCGAGGTCTGGTGTTGGGAACCTTTCCTTGCCCAGAGCCCGCTTCCCCTTGTGCCTCGGGTCCTGACGGGGACCTGCTTCTGCCCCCAGGCGCTCCGGCCCCCGGCCCTCCGGCCCCCGGCGCGCCCCAGCCCCTGCTGGCCTGGCTGCTGCTCCCCTTGCTGCTGTTCCTGTTCCTTGCAGCCTACTTCTTCAGGTAGGAGTGTCCGGGCGCTGGCTCACCCACACCTGCTGGGGAGGAAATGATGCGAGAGGCTGTCACTGCAGATGAGCAGGCGGGGGCTGGCCGGGTGGCAGAGGGCAGAGCAGGGGCGGGGCCAAGGGGCCAGGGCAGGGCCGGGGCCAAGGGGCCAGGGCAGGGGCGGGGCCAAGGCACCAGGGCAGGGGCTCAGCCATGAACAGCAGGAACAGCTTCTCTCGGCTCACCTGGTGGGTATCCCTGGGGCTCACCTGGTGGCTATCCCCGGGGCTCTGGACTCTCAGCAAGCTCCCTGTGCTGACACCTCACGCGTCTGTGTCTCTAAGGTTCAGGAAGCAGAGGAAGGCAGTGGTCAGCTCCAACGACAAGAAGATGCCTAATGGAATCCTAGAAGAGCAAGGTAGGGGGCCGGGCTGGGCCGGGCCTGGGGGGGCCGTGCCTTTCTAACACCTTAACACTTAAATGATGGACTCCTCCGGCTTTGCGACTTTCATCTGGCTTTACCTGGTATCATGCCGTCCTTTATAACCGGAGTTTCCCCGTTTCAAAACTACTGTCATTTTCTGTCCGGTGTGAAACAGACGTTTGAGGCATTTCAGTTTGTGGCTTTGGGGGAGACACTGTTCATATCCTGTCGTTTTTCCGGGATTTCAACATATAAAATTTATCAGTAAGTCTTAGATCGTCCTAAGCTGAGACAGGTGGGCTCACAATTTACAGTTCTCGAAAGGGCCACCCTGGAATCCGCAGTTTTCCCATCAGCTAAAAGAAGGGAATTGATGTACCAACGTGCTCAGCAGGGAGGCGCAGAGTAGCTCAGGAGGAATTTCCTGCCTTTCTTTGAGGTTCCGAATTCAGCTACTAACTTGTAAATTGTGCTTACAAAGACGTTGGTTTTCTTCCCACGCGTTGAGATGTCCAGGAAAGGTATGTGAGGCAGAGGCTTTGAAAACTATTGTTCACACCAGTGCCTACAGCTTCCTCAGTCAGCTTGCTGCCTGGTTGTCCCGTGGTTTGGGGGAGCAGAGGTGCCGTCAGACTTCAGATGAATTACAAAACCGACCTGGCACACGACAAAGAGTATCGGCAGCGAAGGACCTCAGCCAGACCCAGGAGGGCAGTTCTGTCGTGCTGGGAGACCCGTGACCCTGGTTTCATGATGACACGTGGCCTCCAGGCACCACCTTCCTGCCCCCTTCTCCCTGCCCTGCACGTCCCAACAGCCCGGATGGGAGGAGGAAGTTGGGGCTGGTTAGGCCACCTGCTCATCCTAGAGTGACTGTCTCAGGAGGAATGAGCCCTGGAGGGAGTTCTTGGCTGGCCTTCAGAACAGCTCTGCAGGTGGGGACAGGCCCTTTTGCAGGTGACAGCAAAGTAGTGTTGACCTTGTTGAGAACAGCAGCTCAGTTCCCTAGGAAGAGAAGCACATGCCACGGTGTCACTTGCTGTCTCACTCTGAATTTGTGAAAGCAGCTTGTCCGGGGACACCCTTGAAGTCTGGCCCTTCTCCTTTTCAGTGCCGCCAGCCCCTCCCCCCCCCAAAAAAGAAAAAAACAGCAGTGGTTTCTCTTATTTCTCTTGGAGCTTATGGGACTTGAGTAACCGGGACTAGTTGTTACAAAGAAGACAAGGCTGCGGGAGACTCATACCGGAACTGATTCCCAGCCTGTTACCCATTTGCGCCCAGAAACCTATTGTTATTCTGCTCCATTTCAAACCTGGACAGTTGAGCTGGAGTGTGAAGCCACCTGAATCCCTTGAGGAAGGAGAGGTGGCTGGTGGGCTAGTGAGCTGGGAAGGTGAGGCGTCTCTGGTTGGTAAGAGCAGGGGACGCCAGCCAGAGGGGCGTCCGTCTGTCACTATGGGTGATCAGGGTGTGTTAAAAGAGACAGACCTTGCTTCAGCTGCTCATGATCTGGGACGACCGTCCCCCTCCAGCTGCGTCATTCCCCCAGGAACGTTGTCCGTCTGTCTGGTTAATGTCACCCACCTGGGAATATGGCTTAATAAGCCCCGTATTTCTGTCGATCCCACAGAGCAGCAAAGGGTGATGCTTCTCAGCAGGTCCCCCTCGGGGCCCAAGAAGTACTTTCCCATCCCCGTGGGGCACCTGGAGGAGGAGATCCGGGTCCGGTCGGCGGATGACTGCAAGAGGTTTCGGGAGGAGTTCAATGTGAGTTTGGGGCCCCTCTTTCTTGTCACGTGGAAGGGCGCTGGGTCGTGGGATGTCGTGTTTCAGGATAAATTAGCCCAAAGGCTCAGAATGCTGGCGTCCATCGAGACACTGTCCCAAAAATGGGGTTCCAGGGAAACCTGGTTTCTGCCGTGATGACCCTCCGCTAACCCTCATTCCCATTTATGAGATGGTTGAGAAAGAGGTTCAGAACCTCCTTGCAGCTCAGACACCCTGGGTGCCGTGTTCAAAAGTCAAGTGTGACGGAAACACCGTTACCTCGATAACGTGCAAGACCAGGGCCTGAGTGGACCACAGGGTAACAATTGCACGCTGAGAGCAAAGGAGCCCCCAAACCATCCTGCACAACATCAATTAAACAGTCGAGGGGCTGCCTTGAGGGGACACTAGCTCTGCCTGGACAGCCCTTTGATTCTGCCCAAGTCAGTGTGTTCATCCTGCTACCGCCGTTCTGGGTGAACTTAATGATGGCAACAGCTAAGATGAACTTGACGAACTGGTCCAGCCCGATGGTAGCAAACCGATCCTACTATCAACAAAAATGCAAATGTACATTAATGACACCTCCCCTTGTGTTGCTAAGTTCTTAATTTAATGTTCCATGAATTGTGAATCTGCTAGATAGATGATAGATAGATAGAGAGACAGATAGTTATAGATGCTTGGACGCTCAGGCAGGCAGACGAGACGCACTGGGAAGTGTGGTCTCGGGTTTGGCTGTCCAGTGTTGATCTCTGATCGTGTTTTGAGTTTTCTTTTCTGCATCTTCCTCGTATCGTATATAGCCGTGCGCTGGTGTTGAGCTTGAAAGAGGACGGGTTTCCAGCAGGGGGGCCACCTGGTCCTGGCCCTGCCTGTGGCACCGCAGCCCCGCCCGGCCCATCAGTTATTCTCCTGGAAGCCGCAGCTTCCGTCATCTGTGAAGGGGCAGGGGTGGGAGGATGCCTTAATGACCTCACAGGTCAAATATGAGGCTCTGACTTGGTAAACAGCAAAGAGTTGTACAATTGTGACATCTAAGGACAGCATGACTCCTGCTGCAGACAAGTGACTTTTTATCCAGAAGCAGCCCACGAGGGCGCGGCAGGGTGATGGCGCATTTAGACCCGTGCTTTTGTTTATTTTTTGACACAAGCCTCACCTGCCTTTATCTTGCTTCCTTTTAATTGTTTCCAAATGTATCCCCTTTTCTGAGCTATTAGGTCATAGTGAAAGACAGCTCCAAGCAGTATTGTTTTGCAGTCTCTCAGCCTGACAAGAGAAGTTAATTCTCCATTTTCCAAATGACTATCCAAGTTGGCAGCTACAGGACCATTTCCCCCACGTCCATTCGTGTCCTGTTTCCTCTTGTACTTGTATTTCTCCACGTGGAGGCTGGTGACTGCCCTTGCCGAGGGAGGGCTGAGTCAGAACTCGCTGGCTGTACCACCATCTCCAAAGCGAGGGTCCGGGAAGAGGGTCGGGCAGGTGAGGCACTTGTCCCAGGTGCAAAATTTAAGGGGGCACCAAAACACTCTGCCATCTGGATAAATTCTGTTTTCATGCAGCTTTTAAAAATCATCAAAATTAATGCAAGCAATCCATGATGAACAAAACAGCACAACTGTAAATAAAGACAGGGTCACTCTGGTGTTTCCTGTTGCCCCAGGCTCCGACATGGCTTATCACCACGCTGTTGCTCATCCTGACGGTATTTAAAAGTTTGATATTTTGGTTATCATGGATTTTTTTTTTTTTTTTTGCGTTTAGATTTTTTATTTCTTTTTTATTATTTTTTTTTTGCGGTACGCGGGCCTCTCACTGCTGTGGCCTCTCCCGTTGTGGAGCACAGGCTCCGGACGCGCAGGCTCAGCGGCCATGGCTCACGGGCCCAGCCGCTCCTCGGCATGTGGGATCCTCCCGGACCGGGGCACGAACCCGCGTCCCCTGCATCGGCAGGCGGACTCTCAACCACGGCACCACCAGGGAAGCCCTTGCGTTTAGATTTTTTTAGATGTTGCATTTGAATGGGATTTTTCTTGATTCCTGGGTTTTGGGGTACCAACCAAAGCAAGTGCCTTGCTCTGCTCTCCCCACCCCTGCCACCGAGCAGCCTTCCCAGCTGCCCTCCTGCCCACGGCCTCCACTCAGGGAAGGGCCGGGAGAGAGGGTCGAGGGGTCGAGGCCAGCAGCATGGAGCCTGGTCCTGGCTCCAGGGGACCCAGGGCAGCTGCACGTCCCCCTCTGGACCCCAGTTTGCTCCTCTCTCAAGTGAAGGGCAGGCTCTACTGAGAGCATCACAGCTGCCGTGACCAGCCCGCTCTTGCCTCCACTGGTGGACACGCTCGAGCTGGGCCCTCGACGCTCGTCCTCTTCTTTGCTCACCCTCTGTCCTGAGCTCCTCTCCCAGGAACTGTGCAGGGAGACAGATGAGCCTCAAAGTAGTCGATCCGAATGAGTTGGGACTTGTGTGTATGGCCAGTGGAAGCTGCCGTGAACTTGACGAAGTAAATGGGGGCCTGGCACTGGGATCCGTTCAGTGGGGTGATCAAGGCATGGATGCTGGAGACGGGCTGCCTCGGCGCCTGCCCCAGATTTGCTTCTTACCAGCCTGGAGGGCTCGGGCGACATCCTTAACCTCTGCCTCAGTGGCCTCGTGTATGAAATGAGGCCCTCCCAGCCCCCATGGGAGTGTCTTAACACGTTAAAGAGGTAAGGTGTGTGCCCAGCTCAGCCCGGCTCCTGCACGAGGGAAGTCTGAGCTGCCGTCCTTCTCAGGACGACTTCTGTGAATGTCCAGTCTGCCGTCTCCACCCGCAATGGTAGAACACTGACCTAGCAGAGTCTGTTCCAGGCCCCCGGTTAAGTCCTTGCAGGTGAGGAAAAGGCCCCCTCCAGACAGCTTCTTCCACGAGCCTCTGTCCCAGCAGGTTATTTTAAGCCCAGTGCCTAAAAATGTCACCTCAAACAAACAAACCAGCAAACCCTCTTCAGCCAGTTTACGTAACCGGACAATCGATCACAAGGTAGTTATCAGCCAACTGCTAGCTGCACGGCTCACTCGGGGCGCTACAGGGGTTACCCAGCTATGGCAGGCCACACCCGGCCCGCCCCAGAGCTCTCTTATGAGCCCTGTGCCTTTGGAGCGGCTCAGACATGACTGACGGCAGGAGGAAGTGCTGGCCTGCTCTGTGTGGGCGGTCATTCTGTGTGCTTGGAAATGGGGTAGGAGTTCGGGGAGCAGGGTGCTTTGCCTCCACTGTGAACTTCTGACGCCCACAGAGTCAGGATCGTCACCCCATCTCCGTGTTCTGCTCTCCGGTCGCTGCCGGGGCCACACGGCTGGGGGTGGCAGAGCCGGGTCCGTCCTTACCACTCAGACCCCTCCAGCCACTCCTTCCCCTTCCTCACTTTCAGAGGAAGAGGGAGGCTTCTTGGTTTTGTTTCGTTCTGTTAATTTATTAATTTAAATAGAGTATTTTTTAGAGCAGATTTCGGTTTACAGAAAAATTGTGCAGAAAGTACCAAGTTCCCATATCCCCCATCTTTCCCTGCACGGTTTCCCCAATGATTAACATCTTGTCTGAGTGTGTTACACTTGTCACAACTGATGAGCCAACATTGACTCGTTGTTACAAACTAAAGTCCGGGTTAGGGGTCCAGCGCTGCACGTTCTGTGGGTTTTGACAAACGCACAACGTCATGCATCCCCCGCGATGGTCTCAGGCCTCATTTTTGTTTTCAGTGCTGGGGTCAAAAAAGCTTTGGGGTGAAAAAGAGAAGGCTCTAGAATGTTGCTACAAATTTCACGTTGAGGTTTGGTCAAGAAACTCAGTGTTAAGACAGCTCGATGAAGAGCTCCCGGCGGAGGAGGTGCTGGTCCGGCGGAGAACTGCCCACCAGCCTTGCCCTGGTGCCTGCCGGGCAGACCTCCACACTGGCCCTGGCAGAGCCTCTGCCTGTGGCCACTGGGTGTGGTGGGGAAAGAGGCCATGGGCTGGCCGGGGCTGGGTCTGTGATGGAGAAACCCCCGACCCGGGAGAAGGAGGCTCTGGGCCCCCGTGGGCTGCACACCCGACTCAGGGCCTTGGCTTTGATCTCCGGCTGTGCCTTAGTCTCCTGGGCACTTACAGCCGGACGCAGGGAAGCCCTCGCTTGTCCCTACACTTAAGGAAGCGAGTGCCCTTCTCGTGGCCCAGGTGCCAGCTGCACGTGCCCTCCTGCTGCCTGCTACGTGCTAGGCACGTGACTCTGGACAATTCTGCAGCCACCCTGGGGTTCTCTTTCCTCATCTGCAAAACAGGAGTGATCCTGGTGTCACCTGATAATAGGTAAGTTGTGAAGGCAGGTGACCCAGCTCCTCCCTCAGTGCCTGGCACGTCGTAAACACTCGATAGATTTTAACACCAGTGACCCCTGGTTCCTCTGACGGTCAGGCTGAATGTTGAAGGATGTGATTTGGGGGTTCAGAAGGCTCTCTCCCGCTGTGCACTTCAAGGAGCCCCCCTGAGCATGGAGCCCCCCCCAGCAGCGAGCAAACAGGAAGACAGTTGGTGCTAACAAGAGCCAAGAGCCTCTGAGTCGTGGAAAGAACTAGAAGTCAGGACGCTGGGCTGACACCTGCTGTGCCACACGTCAGCTTTAGGGGCCTAGCTGAGCCCCTATACTCATTTTCCTCCTCTAAGACAAAGAGAGGGTTAGGGCGGTGCGTGCAGGTCCCCTGGGGAAGTGGGCAGCTGCTGTGCGGGCCTGGGGTGGCCTGAGAGCTGCATTTTCAAGGAGCCCCCCAGCTGTGCCTGTCCCACTGGTCCTCGGAGCACACCAAGTCCTCAGCAGGTGAGGGCTTGAGGACGGTCCTCCGCCATCACTCTACTCGTCCTTCAGCCCAGCATCTGGGTCCTTGCTCCCGGATCAGAGCTCTGCCGTGGCCAGTTCCTACGTACTTGTGCAGGGCCTGCTCTGGACCGGGACCGTGAGTCCTGGGGCTTTGGTGGCAGTGCACGGGCCAGCCCCTGCCTTAATGCACTCCGGGGTCCAGCTTTGGGTCGTCAGGTTATCTGCACCTCCACTGGCCCCACTAGACAGCGGGCCCAAGGGGAGGCGGGCCTGTGTCTCCATCACATCTCTGCCCAGTGCCGGCCCAGCGCCTGAGGCAGAAACTTCCACGGGCAGGAGCAGAGAGACGAGCCCAGCACCGGAGGTGCTCAGAGACCAGGTTTCCGGATTCCTGCGCTCAGTCGGGAGGTGACGTAAGCACGGTGTTGGGTTCCTCACGTTTATTGCTGACCCTGTGCTTCTTCTAGTCACTGCCGTCCGGACACGTACCAGGAACTTTTGAGCTGGCCAATAAGGAAGAAAACAGAGAGAAGAACAGATACCCCAACATCCTTCCCAGTAAGCGTTTACTTTTTTTGCGCGATGGGTGGCGTTTTGACTAAACTCAGCCTTGCCTTGCAGCTACTGGTGACCCTGTCTGTCCTGACAGCAGATGCGCGGGGGCTTGGAGGTCAGGGCCTGGGTCAGTGTAGTGGCTCAGCCTTCGCAGCTGGGAGTCTAGGTGTCTGTCTCCCGCCCAGGACTTGGGTAGCCTGTGTTGCTCTGGGTCTGGCTGCCAAGCCTGTGCTCGCTGTTGAGACCTGCGCTGCCTGGTCTATTTGCCCAAGACGGGTGCCCCCCGCACCAGCTGGCAGGGCTCCTCCTATGGACCCAAATTGTGCCTGGGTCTCGGGCAGCTGGTGGCCCTGGGCATCTCCCGTCTTGGACGCAGTGCTTCTGCCACCAGCAACAAGGCTCCTGTACCAAGGACAGAAGTGGCAGAATAGGAGAGCTGTCTGACATTGGCAGCTTGGTGGGAAGGCTTAGAAGTAACTGGATCTTTACCACAGCTAAAGGTGGCCATGGGCTGGGGAGGGCGGCCTCCAGGGGGTGGGGGGCCGGGGAGCAGACACATCTGTCCAGGGGCGTTGCTGGATGGGCTGCGCCTTGGCCTCGGTGCCAAGACAGACCCCCAGAGTTCCAAGCTGCCTTTGTGGAAGCTGGCCCGGGAGGTGTGTGATGTCCTTCCTCCATCCTGGACCCTCCTGTTGGCTTTGCCATCGGGCTAACAGAAGGGCAGCCTCAAAAAACTCCAGGGAGTTCACGTTTGAACCCCAAACCAAGGCCTCCCGGCGTGCCAGGGAACACCTCCCTTCTGAGGCGGTGCTTCCGTGGGGTGGCGCCAGCTGGTCTGTGCTGGCCCTCGGCATGACGGCTCCTGGTTGCATTTTTAGGGTTAGAATTGAGTCCAGCGGCTCTGTAGGTAGAAGACGCCGTGGTCCGCCTCATCTGCAGCGGCTCTGTAGGTAGGAGACGCTGGGTCCGCCTCATCTGCAGCGGCTCTGTAGGTAGGAGACGCTGGGTCCGCCTCATCTGCAGCGGCTCTGTAGGTAGGAGACGCTGTGGTCCGTGTCGTCTGTGTGGTGTCTGGATTATTGGCACTTGATAGAAACAATTCTTTCCCATCTTACGTGCATAGGATTTATTGGGGGTTTTGTTTGGGGTTTTTTTGGGTTTTTGTGGGTGTTTTCTGCAGAGCCCACCATGAGCCTGGGTCAGCTAAAACCAGAGAAATTAACTAAGTAGTCTGCCATCCAACACATTTTTAGAGGCAGCCAAGGGAGCACCAGGGAGACGGGTCAGGAGGCCACTGTGGTCACACAGCCGAGCTGAGAGGGTGGCTTGGACCCGGGTCGGGTTCTGCACACACTGCAATGATCACTTGAGAGGACTTGCTGTCAGATTGGGTGAGGCTTATCGGAGGCAAGTTTCTCGGCTTGAATAGCTCAAGGGAAAGGAAAACCAGGCAGGAGGTTGGGAATCTTTGGAATGTTGTTGGTCGAATAAAAATCGGGATATTTGGAAGTTAGCATCTAGTATTAGTTGAATTAACTAGCTTAATTAATTACTTGGTGCTTGACTGCAGAACGTACACGTGGAGGACCCAATCAGCGCCAAGCCCTGTCCCAGATTCCTCACCTGCATTCCTGTCCTTATCACTCACTGAACACTGTATCTTTTAAAGCTAACGATTACATTGCTGATTAAGAGTAGTTTTGGTGGGCGCTCAACCGGGCGGAATTAGCAGCCAGGTGTAGGAATTACCTGCACCCACCACTGCTCCCAGATGTGATGGCTGGGGGAGTGGGCACCGCCTCCCCAGAGGATCACCAACGGGGACCAGCAGGCCTGGTCCGGCACAGCATCTCTAAGCTGTGTCCTCCAGCTCGTGCTGTGGAAGTGAGTTGGCCTTTCCTGCAGGTATGAAAATATGGGTCCTGCCTCAGCCCCTCCTGGCCCAGGAGTGCCACGTCAGAGGTAATTGAGGGTGCTGGCCATCCCCAGGGGCCCACGGGACCTCTGCCAGAATGTGAGTGTTTCATGTTGGTGGGAGGATGCGTTTATGGAGCAGTGGCCTGGAGATACTCGGGGTGGGCCCTGGAGATGGCCAGCTGGGTGGCATCTGGCGTTTGGCATCAGCCAGACGTAGGAGAAGCGTATCTGATTAAACTGAGCAGTTGGCCAGAGATGCCCTGGGCAGCTAGATCACGGGGATATCGTGCAGGGGGCTCCCAGGCCTGCTCCCCCCACCCCAAGGCTGGGAGACCCTTCTCTTACTCAGGTTGAGGTCAGGGTCAACGGGCAGGGAGAGGGGCGGGGGCCCAAGGCCCTCAGTCCGGTACACCTTCCCTGCCCCTCCCCCTCTTCCCCAAGCAGAGATTGGCTGTAAATGTATCTGATTTATGAGGTGCCCCGGGGCAGGAGCCCAGTCCCGGATGTGGCTCTAGGCAGCTCTGAGGACAGAGGTCAAGATGCCGGGTGTGCTGAGAGGCTGCCTGTTCCAAGGGCTCCACGGCCGGTAGCAAGAGAGCATCCTCTGTTCTGGAAAAAAACCGCCAGCACCTGGTAATGTTAGGAAATAGTGTTTTGAAAGAGTAGTGCGACTTTTTAGAGTAAAAAGACAGGAAGCTCTTAGCACTGCAAGATACTAAATCTAACCAGAACGCTATTTTTTACCCCCTGCTTTCTATAGCCGCCCTCAGAAGGGTAAATTGGTCCAAATCACGTTCAGCTAGCCGTCCTCAGAAGGGTAAATTGGTCCAAATCACGTTCAACTAGCTTTATACGTGTTCAGCTAGAGCTATTTCTGCCTCAGGGCTGTCAGCCCCTGAGCAGACGGGTCTCGTGGCCGAGCCTCTGTGGGCTGTGAGTTTGAGGTCGGGCACCCTGACAGCCCTGCGTGGGCCGTGACCGACCCTGAGAGCCGCACTGGCTGTGCTCGCTAGCAGCAGTGGTACCGTGTCCAGACAGCTCGCAGTCAACCCAGCTTCCTTCCATGTAAATGGGAGACGTACAGCCTGTGACTAGGAGGGGACAAAGCAGGGGCCAGGACGTGGAACTATTTAATAATTAATGCAGTAAATACGTACGAAGTACCCACCGTGCGCTGTGCCCAGCGCAGCATAATAAACGCGGAAGCAGCTTGATCCCTGGGCCCCGGGCCGAGTCTGGGCATCCTTCATATTTCTACTCCTGGGAGCGGCCGGCCACTTACACACCAGCGGGGAGACCCAGGGCCGGGGCCACACCACCTGTAGGGACCCATAAAACCATCTAATTTCTTTGTGAATCAGAAGAAAATATATACGTAATCCAGCCTGGTTCACACTCATCTTTTTTTTTTTTTAATAAATGTATTTATTTATTTTTGGCTGCATTGGTTCTTTGTTGCTGTGTGCGGGCTTTCTCTAGTTGTGGTGAGCGGGGGCTACTCTTCGTTGCGGTGTGCGGGCTTCTCATTGCGGTGGCTTCTCTTGTTGTGGAGCACGGTCTCTAGGCACGCGGGCTTCAGTAGTTGTGGCACGCAGGCTCAGTAGTTGTGGCTCGTGGGCTCTAGAGCGCAGGCTCAGTAGTTGTGGTGCACAGGCTTAGTTTCTCTGCGGCATGTGGGATCTTCCTGGACCAGGGCTCGAACCCGTGTCCCCTGCATTGGCAGGTGGATTCTTAACCCCTGTGCCACCAGGGAAGCCCCTCACACTCATCTTTATACCAACTACTAATACAGTTGTCAAGTAAAATGTGTAATTTTTTTCTTTTCGAGAAAGGGGCCCATGAAGGCAGAAGTGACGTGGACCCACGTAGGTCACATAGGGCCCTGGTTGAAAACTCTTCCACATGTGTGTACACACAAATACATACCACAAGCATACTCATACACACCACAAACACACATATACACCACACTCACATAAATACAACACACATTACACACACTATACAAGACACACCACTATACACCCCACAAGTACACCACACACACACACACACACACACACACACACACACACACCCCACACACAGCCCTCCCTGGTCGGCCCTCCCACACTGGAAAACCGCTTGTACCACAGGCCAGAATCCTCCAGGCAGTGGCCCATCCTGCCCAGGCAGTCCGTGTGAGTGTGGCTTACCTTTCTGCTCTGGGGCAGACCTGAACATGAGGACTGGGGTCTGGAGTCCCAAACCCCAGAGCCTTGTGTCCGTGTGTCCAGAGGCAGAGTTGTGCTCCTCCTGGAAAGCCTGGGAGACTGGATCCCGGAAGTGGTCCTGAGGGTACCCGCACTGGTCAGTACTGGGGCCTGGTTTGGGGTTCAGAGGATATTGCCATCACACTGTAGGGGTCCCGCACATTCTGCTGTGTCTACGTGATGGTTCAGCAGACCGACTCCTGGACCCTGAAATTCTTACCTGTCATCATGCCACAGGTTGTACTGAGCTCCTGTTTGGGGCTTGGCTTGTCCTCAGTGCTGAGGTACAACAGGTGCTTCCCCGACCTCAGGGCACTGAGGATCTCGTGGGAATGGCTAAGAAGAATGTCCCTTCTGTCCCGTGATCACCATGGTTATGTCCTTTGTAGTGTTTAATACTGTGCATGTGATTCCCTTGTCCTAATGTCATGGTTTTTGTGTTGGGTTTTTTTGCAGATGACCATTCCAGGGTAATTTTAAGCCAGGTGGACGGAACCCCATGTTCAGACTACATCAATGCTTCATACATAGATGTAAGTACGCCCAGCCCCCCACCCAGCATGACACTCATGCCTGGACCATTGGGGGTTGAGTGTGAATCGTGACCGTTGGACGCTTTCTTCTCTGGGGCCACAGATGTAAATTGTCACAACTTTCCTGAGCGCAGTGGCCACACTGGTCACAGCACAGAGCATGAAAGTGCTGGGCCTTTTGAATTAGCACCTGTGTCGGGGATTTGTTCTTAAGATGCAGATAAGCCCTGAGGATGTCCATTACAGCATTATTTATATCACTGACCAAACAGAACAGAGGGGACCAGTTAAATAAATTGTGGTAAAATCATACACAATGGATTATTAAGAATCCATTTTAGTTGAAGCTTAAAAGATCATTTAATAGAAATTTTTAATTATCATAAAAATTCAGTATAAGAGAATGTGTACATATTAACCAATTTAAATATATATATATATATATATATATATATATATATATATACACGTGTGTGTCTGTGTTTTTGCTTGTGTGTGTGTCTGGGAAGGTATTCACAGAAAAAATATTGGAGAGGGATATACAAAAATAGCATGTTATTTCTGGAATTCCTGGCGAGTTTTCTTCGTACTTTTCTGTGTTTTCCAAATTCTTCACGATGGATACGTGTTATTTTCCTAACAACAACAAAATCCTTCCACGACGATAATTTTGAAAAATTATAAACCTGATTTTATTTTTCTAGGGTTATAAAGAGAAGAATAAATTCATAGCAGCTCAAGGTAAGCTTTTTGTTAAGTTACTTTCTGAACATGATTTTGGTAAAATGGCATGGAAGGCGATTGCTTCTTTATCCGGTACCAACCGTCCTGAGGGTTTATGTCGGCTTTTTGTACGTGTGTGTGCTGCTCCGTTTACATAGCTGATCAGAGTCCGTCTAGCCTTTCCCGAAGCACAGAATTCAAAGCTGTCATGAATCTCACACAGCACTGCCACTCACTGTGTCTGCTTCACTGGCCAGGAGTGTCCCATTCCCTGCGAGCTGGCCAGAAATGCAGCAGCTCAGGCCCTACCCTCAACCTGCTGCTGTCCCTGAATTTGCATTTTGGCCAGCGTTCCCAGGTCATTCTGCTCAGTAGAGTTTGAGAAGCATTATACTGTGAGGTGATGAAACTCCTCCTAGGAACAGGGTTTCAAAGGAGCAGAAGAGTTGGAACCTCTGAGAGCATATGCCCCCCGTCTGTGGTCAGTGCAGACAGACATGGAGCGTTTGGGGTCGTCTGTCATACAACAGGCGTGTTAGATGTGCAGCCACGCGATGTGTCTGTGCAGAAAGACACACGATCTGTTTCCACACCTGCATGATTTAAACCCAGACACCCAGTGGTCTGGGTTGCCACTTCAGCGTGTCGATACTTGCGTTAGAAAACCTTGAATCTCCCTCGGCTGGCGAAGCTCTATGTGGCTTCCAAGCTGTCGGGTTTGGGGATTACTTTCAATCCAGCATCTCGTCCATCTGCCCAGGGGTTGCATCCCCAGGAGCCAGTACTGGTGCGGTTGGGTGTCATTGGAGCTAAAACTAGGTTTCCTGAACGTCCTGACTCCTCAGCAAGGGTCTTTAGAGCTGTGGGTCCCAAAATTCAGTGTAGATCAACATCTTAAATGCACATTCCTTGAAAAATAGGGCGATACACATACGCCCACCGTCCCTCAGGAATAGGCCCAGCTTTAAATGTCAGAAAACCTGACAAACACCAGCTGACACCAATAGAAATGTCTTTTTCGTTCTTATAAGCAGACGTCCGGGGAAGCGGCGTAGGGCCGGGGCGGCAGCTCAGGGGAGAGGGGCCTCTTTTATACCTCTCCGCCCTCCATGGTGTCATCCTCAGGGTCACAACATGGCCTTCTGCACCTCGAGGCGCTGTGTCCCTAATAAGGCAGGAAAGAGGGCGATGGGCAGAGGACTTTCTTCCAGGGACACTTTATCTTTTGTTCAGATTCCCTCCTCAGGGACTTCAGCCCACATCTCACTGGACAGCGTTACTGGCTGTCAGGGCAGCCAGAAGATGAGATGTTTTCAGAGGAAGGGGGGTTAGACATGGCGCGCAGGTCATTTTGCCTGCAGTCTCTCTCTCTCTCTCTCTCTCTCTCTCTCTCTCTCTCTCTCTCTCTCACACACACACACACACACACACACACACACACACACACTCTCTGCTTCAGCAGTTCTGGATGGAGGGTCATATTCTGAGGCTTTGACAAGCACCCCAGTGGCCACAAACCACTTTGACAGGCAGCTTGAAACCCAGCTCCCATTTGAATAGCCTTTATGGCCCGGGAAGATCATCACCCAGCTGGGTCTTACTTAGCTCCTGGGATTTCCCAGCCGCAGCGGGACATCGGGGGGGAGTGGCAGGACAGAGTGCAGAGGCTGCCACCTACTCCGGTTCTGGGACTCTGTAGGGTGTTAGATGGACCGGCAGGCCCATCACCCCCTTCCTCGGGGCGGGTGGGGGAGCCGTTCCCGGGGCCTGAGGGCCAGGGCCACAGGCCTGGGGCTCGCAGCGACCTCTCGGTCTGACTTTGGGACCATCGTCTGCTCACAGGCCCTAAACAGGAGACAGTGAATGATTTCTGGAGGATGATCTGGGAGCAGAAGTCTGCAACCATCGTCATGTTGACGAACCTGAAAGAAAGAAAAGAGGTGAGTCCAGCCTCTGAGTCACGGGCACTTCCTTCTCAGCTGCTTTGCTGGGGGTGTGCTTACCACTTCCTTTTCCTTTCTCTCCCCGCTCCCCCCGCTGCTTATCACTGCAGAAGAGAAGAAACACCCAGTGGCTCACAGCATTTTTATTTTGAAATAAGTTCTCTGTGTTCCAAGGATCTCACTGTCTTAGACTATGATGTAAAAATGGTGCAGAATTTTCTTCTTTCAGCTGAGGGTCATCCCTGGTGGGCTACTCCACGGTGGGAGTGATGGATTTTAATACAGAGGTCTTTAGTATGTTGGACATAAAATGTGTGGAGCCTCAGACCATAAAAAAAATGATTTCCCGCGTATTACTCAGACCAGAGAAACGCATTTGAAAAAACAAGGCGTATTGAAGTAATATTGATTTGTCATGTCAGTGTGTTTAATTAGCTGTTTCTAATTATGCTAATTATGTAATGCATGTACATTATAAGAACTTGAAATCTCTAGGTTAAGCTGGTTCATTTCCTACGGGGACGGGTACACGTTGGCCTCTGTCTCCTGGACAGGGCTGCCCCAGGTGGGGTGCATGTCGTCAGCCGCCCGGCAGACCCCTCACTCAATTTCTATTCCACTGACCGGGGCTGGCGCCAAGCGGAGAGCACGTGAATGTAGATTATGTCAAGAGGTGACAGAAAATATAAAGGAGAGTAACGGGGACAGTGGTGGCCCGGGAGGGACAGGCCACCCGGAAGGCAAGGCCAGGCTGAGGGTGCAGAGACGCCGGGGCATTCTCATGCCTGGGAGTCACTCACTCTTTAGCCAAAGGGAAACAGACCCCTGTAGGATAAACCGGAACACAGCATGACTGTGGCTCTGGAGGTGTGGAGGAGAGGAAGGGCGGCCCCCCGTGGGTCCTGGGCTAGGACCGGGGCAGGAGGGCTCATTTAGGGGGTGATGGTGTCGCTGGGTCTCAAAGACTGGGCTGGTGCGGGGAGGGACTGCATCGGATGCAGCTGGAGAGAGGCACTGGGGCGGGGAGGTGTGTTCGCAAGGCCGGGAGCAATGTGCTGGACCCAGAACCAGGACGCCCACACAGGGGACAGAGCGGCTACAGATGCACCAGGGAACCGGGGCTTGGGGCTTGAACGTCGGGCTGAGACAGGTGGGCAGTGGAGGCCCTCGGCGGGTTTCTCAGCAGTAAGCAGGGGCCTGTGCTTTAGGAAGTGAGCTCTCGCTCGCTCTCCAGAAGGAAAGAATTGGGAGCTGGAGGCATGGACGCTGGCGGCAGGGAGACTGTTCTTCTTGCAGATTGCAGCGTGAGGGCCAGCACGAGGGTGGGCGCGAGCAGGCCAAGAGGAAGACCCAGCCTGGCGAGAGATGTCTGTCCTGCTGGTCTCTTCCCAGGGTCTGCGCGTCCTGGCACTCGGCCAGGCACGGGCCCAGAGGCACCCCGCACCCTGCGCTCCATCATCACGCACTGGCCTGGGGCTGGCTGGCCTGTCCCTAGCGAAGCCCAGGCAGCTTGGCTGGGGCCCGGGCTGGAGGGCAGGGCTGCCGGTTGAGATGGAAGTGGCAGGCCGTGGGGAGCTCAGCTGGGGCAGGGGTGGGGAGGCCAGGCGGCAGGCGGGGCAGCCCTAGCGGCCGCCACCAACACTAATTGGTTCCGCCCAAAAAAGCACCGGATTTTTGCATCTATGTTCATCAGTGATATTGGCCTGTAGTTTTCTTTCTTTGTGACATCCTTGTCTGGTTTTGGTATCGTGGTGATAGTGGCCTCGTAGAATGAGTTTGGGAGTGTTCCTCCCTCTGCTATATTTTGCAAGAGTTTGAGAAGGATAGGTGTGAGCTCTTCTCTAAATGTTTGATAGAATTCGCCTGTGAAGCCATCTGGTCCTGGGCTTTTGTTTGTTGGAAGATTTTTAATCAGTTTCAATTTCAGTGCTTGTGATTGGTCTGTTCATATTTTCTATTTCTTCCTGATTCAGTCTTGGCAGGTTGTGCATACAATGGAATATCACTCAGCCATAAAAAGAAACGAAATTGAGCTATTTGTAATGAGGTGGATAGACCTAGAGTCTGTCATACAGAGTGAAGTAAGTCAGAAAGAGAAAGACAAATACCGTATGCTAACACATATATATGGAATTTAAGAAAAAAAAATGTCATGAAGAACCTAGGGGTAAGACAGGAATAAAGACACAGACCTACTAGAGAATGAAGTTGGGGATATGGGGAGGGGGAAGGGTAAGCTGTGACAAAGTGAGAGAGTGGCATGGACATATATACACTGCCAAATGTAAGGTAGATAGCTAGTGGGAAGCAGCCGCATAGCACAGGGAGATCAGCTCGGTGCTTTGTGACCACCTAGAGGGGTGGGATAGGGAGGGTGGGAGGGAGGGAGACGTTAAGAGGGAAGAGATATGGGAACATATGTATATGTATAACTGATTTACTTTGTTATAAAGCAGAAACTAACACACCATTGTAAAGCAATTATACTCCAATAAAGATGAAAAAAAAAGCACCAGAAGAGGCTCCACACACACTTTCAGGTCGGGGAGAGGAGAGGGGTTTTCTTTTGTTTTCCAGGGAGCTGGGATGGGGCTGGGGAGGGCCAGCCTTCTCTGTGTGAATCCTGCCCTGGCCTTCCTCTCTCACCGGAAAGGGGAGGAAGCAGGGGGTTCCCGGGCAGGGACACGGCCCCGGGGGAGTGGGGTGGAGGGTGGCTGCACGGGAGGTGTCCCCACGCTCTGGGCAGCTGCGGCAGGACCTGACCCTAGAAGAGGAGGCTGACCTGGAGCCCCGTGTCCCCTGGGACCAGCTGTCCCCTGGGACCAGGCTTCTGGGGGCTCGTTTATAAACATGAGACACAACGAGCCCAGTGCAGAAGCGGTGGGACTCAGAAGACGCCCCCAGCTCCCCCATCAGTGATCCTGTTGCTCCGTTACTTGACATTTTCCCTCCATCTTTCTCTACAGAAAGATCCTACTGCATTTTTCTGTCTCTGTGACTCAGAGCTGGCCTGCTTCTGTGTCTTGATTTTCACCGTTTCAGATGAAATCATTTCTCAATAGAGTTCCCTTTTTCTTCATCGCTTACACTTCTGTTGTGGTCTCCCTGGCTTCAACATCCTGACTTGGTGTTGCGAAATGTAGCTGCTCTGGCATCTCATGATCTGATGGGAGGGAGGGGACGGCACCCGCCATGTAGACGGGAGGCCGAGGGCGTGGAAACAGTGCACACACTGAGCCCTCTGGGGGCCTGAGAAACAGCCCTCGGGTCCCCGAGTGAGAGTTTGTCAAAGTGAGAATCTCTGGAGGGTCCCTAGGAGGCCAAGACTGTCCGAACCAGGACCTTCAGGGCTTGGTTTCTCCTCGGAGTCCCTTCCGAGTCACCCGGGCCCGGGCCGTGGAGGGGATGTCGTCTGGTGGGTGTCATCACACAAGCTCTGGGCACTGGTGAATACCAGCTGACTCTTGTTTTATAAGATTATTAGTGACTCGACAGCTGTGGCCTGTGGGCAGTTTCCAGGGTAAACGGCTTGCTGACCCCAGGGCCTCTCCCGTGGCTGTGGAGCCGGTGTCTCCCCCTTAGGCAGGCCTCATGCCTTCAGGTCCTCCTTGTAGGAGGACAACCTGGGATCAGGGGCCGGAGGCCCCATCCCCACCCTCTCCTGTGGCCCTTTGGTAGTTCGGGGGGAGGGAAGGCAAAGGAAGGGCCTCTCCGTGACCACGCGCCTGCTCCGCAAATTCCCACATCGGGCTCCTCCCGGCTGGAGAAAAATTAGGAATGTTCAGCTGACCACAGGCTCGTGACTCTCCCACAGAGGATGGTGGGATTGGAATTTAGTTCGTCCTTAGTGCTGGGCAGGAAAAACGACCCGCTGAGTGCGACAGGTAGTGTTTGGGGAGCACGTGGTCCTCCAGGGCTTAGGGCAGCCCCTCCCAGGTGAGGCCACTTCTGCTCTGGTCCCCGGCTCTGCAGGGAGCAACTCAGCCAGACGGTTCGGTCGATGTGTGGGGTTAGTGAGTGGATGAGTGAATGAGACATGAACTGGAAATGGTCCGATCCTGGTCTCAGCCCTGCCATTCATCAGCTGTGTGGCCTCAGTTTCCCCATTGATAAGATGGAAACACACTTCCCCAGCTGAGGACTGTTTCACGGGAAGCTGGTGTGTGTGAGGCCTTGTGGCCATGGCCAAGGAGGGGGCAACGAGGTGCTCAAAAGTCCCCACAGACCTATTGTTTCTGTTCAATTGTTCCACGCAGGAGAAGTGCTATCAGTACTGGCCGGACCAGGGCTGCTGGACCTACGGAAGCATCCGGGTGTGTGTGGAGGATTGCGTGGTCCTGGTGGATTATACCATCCGGAAGTTCTGCATTCAGTCCGTAAGCACGTTACATCCTGGACTTTTCTGGAGAAGCAGAGTAGGGAGTAAATACCCGTCTACGTTTATAATAGGAAGCACTTTGCCCGCGGCTCTCACGAGTGGAGGATGAGGCTGGAGGAAGCGCTGGGCGGGGATGTGGGACGGTCGTTAGTGGGCCCAGGCGGTGAGTCTGCAGGGCAGATGGCAGACAGGTGCACGTGGGCCTTGAGTCAGTACCGGATGTTCCTGGCTCCCAGGGACCTTTCTGGGTGGAGGAAGTCGAGTCAGTGGGGGGGGGGCATGGGGGTCCCCACTCAGTGACACAGTGTCATTTCACACGCTGGAATGGTGAGGTGAGGTTTTTTTAGCAGTTTCAAAATTATATCTGAAACACCTCATTAGTTATCCCACTGATTTCCTGCTAATCCTTCCTTCCCAGAAAGGATTTAAGGCAGTCTTCAATAGATACCTGTATTCAAGGCAGATGAAGTAGAGGTTTAAGAGATTAAAAAAACCCAGAAAAGACAGAAGGTCGTGTCATCAGGAATCGAAGGTAGAGTGAGGGGTGTAGTCAGATTACAAAATAAGAGTCTGAGATTCCGAGAAACCACAGCAAAAAAGGAAAGAGGATGAGCTTCATCGTTCTTACTGTCCCCGGCCTGCTTGCCTCCCCAAAACACACACACACACACACACACACACACACACACACACACACACACAACTTCCCAGTACACCTTATGGCTTTGGGCAGAGAACCAAACCTGGGTTCTGGGTAGTAAAATCTGAGAGAGGCTTTGAGGCGTGGGGTGGAGGGGTCTCCCGAGGGTGGGCCAACCACATCTTTTCCCCGAAAATTAAGACACTTATGAGAGTGAAAGCTTCTGCTGTTGGTAGTTACACAGGCATAAAAGCCAAGCCCACTGGGATGCAGCCACCCTGCTTCCCAGCGGGGTCCATGAGCCCTGGGGCCATCTGTAGGGATGTATCTGGCTGTCTGGGGCCTGGCCTGGCCTGGTCCTGGGACAGGTGACCATGGGTCCCGCTCTGCTGCCCCTGCTGCCACGGTGCTGTGTCCAGAGCTGGCAGTAAGAATCAGGGTCTCTCACCCTGGGGCATCCAGCCTTCACTGATGGGCCCCTCCCTGCACCCGTACCCATGGCTGCCCACACCTGGATGGCAGAGGGGGACCCCAAGCAAGCATTCTCAGAGCGTGATGCTGGGGAGGCGCAGGGGCCGCGCCACCTGCTCACACCTCCGTGCATCCCCGCAGCAGCTCCCTGACGGCTGCAAAGCCCCTCGGCTCGTCTGCCAGCTGCACTTCACCAGCTGGCCCGACTTCGGAGTGCCTTTCACCCCCATCGGGATGCTCAAGTTCCTGAAGAAAGTGAGGACACTCAACCCCACGCACGCCGGGCCCGTCGTGGTCCACTGCAGGTACGTGCGGGGCGGGGCCACGGGGCGGGCCCTCCGGGGAGGACTCAGGCCCTCCTGGGAAAATAACCAGGGGACGGAGAGCCGGGTGGGCAGAGGGGCAGCAGGGGCGATGTGAAGGCACCTCCCAGACACCGGGTGCAGCTCAGAGAATCCCTCAGGGCAAGAGCTGGAGGGATATTCCCCATCCGGGGCGGCGGAGCCCTTTCCTCAGTGCCACCGGGGGAGAAAGGCTAATGTTGGGACCACACAGAGCCGAGAGGCCCAGGTCGGTGGTGGGGATGGAACTCTGCCATTCACCCCCCGGGGACCCTCAGGTCACCTCCAGGAACAGAGTTGGAAACCGCGCTTCTATAGGGGGTCCACCTGACCTCTCTCAGCAGAGGTCTCCGCGTCTGTGATGGGGAGGACAGCCTCGGAGGGGCTGTGGTTACAGCCGCAGCAACTAAGGTGATGGAAGAGCAGGTTATGAAGTGATTGCTTCTCCCAGAGCATGTTCCCCTCTGCCTCTGCATACCGGGACGTCCTCTGGTTGTTCTCACGCTGAGCTCTTATTTGCTCTGAGCTCCCCAAGCCATAGCGTCAGGGCTCAAATCCACCCCCTCTGTAGCTCGTGACTAAACGCAGTTCGGCTTCGAACACGAAAATCACGGTCATGAGAAGGCCTTGGACTTCTGGGGGGCCGGCTGGCGTGTGCATGTGTTGTTTTTTAAGACAAAGGCACAAAGATGAGAACGTTCCCCAGCCGTGCTTCTCATTCTTTGGTGGATGTATGGTCAGAACCCGAAGGTGCTGGCCAGATCTTTTCTCTGCCCCAGCCCAGGGGCTTCTGCTGTGCCCCTCATTGCCTAGGCTGGGAGGTTTGGGGGTCACTGGGGCGGGGGGGAGCGCCTGGCGTCCTGGCCGGGGATGGAATCCTGGATCTGCACCTGGGAGCTGAGCAACTACACATCAGGTGAGGTGACACCTGTAAGAGTCCCGTTACCTGGCCCTGCACGCTCCTCCCAGCAGCTGCACTGGAGGGGGTGGGACATGATCGAGCCCCGCTTGGCCCCCTCGAGGCGGCAGCCCCTGTTCTCAGACGCCCTGGAAGCCATTTCTGCTGAACACCCGTGTGGCAGGTTCAGAGCACCTGTGTCACTAGGTGCAGGTGCCTTTGGCCCCTGGCAGGGCTGTGATGCTCAGAACGGCCCTGTCTTTAACAGCTGGAAACCCAGTGTCCAGTCAGCGTGACACCCAGTGAGCAGGGCCCTTCCTCCTCAAGCCTGGACAGCCGGGCCACAGGCCTGGGTTCCTGCACGGGGATTTCTGAGAAACCCCGCAGAGATGCGGGCCCGCGTAGCCGAATCGGTGGGTCGACGCCGGCAGCTTGTCATCGGGTGGAGAGTTTGAAGGGCCCTCCGCTGGAGCAGCGGCTGGCAGGGAGCTATGTGCTCAGTTCCCGTCAGCTGCAGGAGGCCCCCGGCTGTGCTCTGGAGGGCAGGGGATGAAGCAGCAGCCTCTGTGTGGCACCAGGGGCGGCTGCGGGCAGCTGTTCAGTGCTGTTCTCTTCTGATGCCTCTCGATCCACCGTGCGTGTGAAAACTCAGTATGCGGCCCTCCCCTGCTCCCCTCTCCCTCACCACAGGTGCCCCGGGCAGGTGCATTTGCCCTTCATCTTGGTTTCCATCCTTGGTTCGCCTGTGGCTGTGAATCTCAGCCTTTGCCATTGAACACAGAAGTAGTCTCTCGGGGTAATGCTTTATTTCTGTGCCGCCAATGCAGGTCCTGGCCCTCCCTGCTGCTCTGTGCTCTGCTCTGCCCCCGCGTTTTTGTGTGCGTGGAAGGGAAGCCCTTCTCTGGGGGTCTGCTTCCCCGCAGAGCTGAGTTCCCCTGCAGGCAGTTGGGTGGTCTGGGTGCTGCCTGCAGGGGGTCACGTGGTGACAGCAGTTCCCACCAGGAGTTCAGGCCAGCCAGAGTCCCCCCTGGAACAGGGAAGAGGCTCCCGTGGGCTGGCAGCCTCCGGTCTCAGGGGGAGCGGACCAGACCTCCTCATTCCTCCACGTTCATCTTCTCACGGGGTCTCCTGGGGCTCCAGTATGTGCATCGCCTGGGGGTGGGAGGTTTCTCGATTTCCTTCTCTCTCCCACACTCACCCTCAACGTCTCCCCCTTAATCCCTTAAAAAGAACCCACTGCCTGCCTGCGGGCCCTGTACAAACAGCAGGGAGGGTCTCTAGCTAGGGCTGTGAGCTCTGCACCAGCATCCAGGGCCCAGGAGGGAAAGAGCGCCGGGCCCCGGGCCTTTCCTCTTGGAACCGACGCTTTCCCCGCTCCCAGGTGCTCCCCTGCCCTCTGCCCCGCGTGCACCTGGGCCTCCCGGGCTCTCGCAGCCTCCAGTCCTCTATTCCCTGGTCCTTACCGCTGACCTGTTGGGTGGGGCGCCTTTAACTGGCCCCGCACCTGATGATTTTCTCTTACTTTGCGTTTGTGAAGAACCAAGGCTCCCGAAGGGGCCTCTCCTGTCTCGCCCGCTTCCCCTCCCCTCGGTGTGATGAGCAGGGAGTCCTTCCAAGGGCGAGGGGCTTCACTGTCTGTCCTAGCACCATTCTGGAGACTAATGGTCTGGAAAGAGCGGTACCACCCTCCCCCCAAAAAGAGGAACAGGCTGGGGGACTTCATTCATTAAGTTGTGAGCCTTTTCGTTTAAAAGGCCACTTGGGCTGCAGGGGCCAGAGGGGGAAAGCCCCGTTCGGCCAACTAACCCGACAGACACCTGGGCCGCCACGTGCAGTTCTGGTCGACGCCACACATATGAGTCTGGGCCATTAGGGCTTTATTCGTCCAGCGGATGTTGGCTGAGTCCGTTTGTGTGCCCCCTGAGCCCTGGGTGTTGGGGAGACACATATGGACGGCCTGCACTGGCTGGTGGGCGTCTAGATGAGACAGGTGGGGTGGTGGTGGGGAAGATGTCCAGAGACTGCTGCGGGGACAGCGCTGGGTGGGAAGGAAACCCGAACCCAGGAATGGAATCGGGCAGCTTCCTGAGGTGGGAGACCTCTCCGTGGAGCCCCTAAGGACCAGCTGGCCCCAGCCAGCCCGGAGGTGAGGGCTAGGATCCCAGACAGAGCCCCCATTTGCATGACCTTGGCTCCAGGGCCAGCAGACCTGGCCTGGGGTTCTCCACTCTTATGAAGAGCCTGGAGAAACCATATCAAGCATGACAATAAAAAATCCAGTTACACAAGTGATAAGGAGAAGATGGCATTTGGTAATAGAGGAAAAATTACCTGTACAACTCACCCGAGGCTTAGGACACAATTTCCAGGCAGAGGGAGAGATTTGACGTCTTTTCACTAAGACTGTGGTGCCCTCTGGTGGCCTCGCGTGGATTTGCTCCTTATTAACCGAGGAAAGTTTGCGTTCAGGGATGAAGTGGAAGTCTCTGTGGAGGGCGGGGTGTCCTCCGGTCCAGACTGCAGGCATGTTCCGAGGCCCTGTCATTCATTTTGGGGAAATGTGATTCACGACTTGGCGTCTTTCTTTCTCCCCAAGCGCGGGCGTGGGCCGGACGGGCACCTTCATAGTGATCGATGCCATGATGGACATGATACACGCCGAGCAGAAGGTGGACGTCTTTGATTTCGTGTCCAGAATCCGCAATCAGCGGCCTCAGATGGTTCAGACGGACGTGAGTAATACCCTCCTCGGGCCCAGCTGCCCGTCCTGGTGTGAGCTTCGCACAGCAAACCCAGACGCCCCAGGATGTGTGCCCTCTCCCCAAGATGGTGCACGCAGAGTGGTGCCCGGCAGGGAGAACGTCCTCAGTGACGCCCGCTCTCACGCTGTCAAGGCCATAGATGCTCGCTTTAAATGGCCATTAATCTGACTCTGCCCCCAAACCCCCTTCCCTTTACACAAAGAGAAGAGAAGGGCCCCCTTGGAGCCCACCTGCGTCTCCCCGCAGATGCAGTACACGTTCATCTACCAAGCCTTACTGGAGTACTACCTCTACGGGGACACCGAGCTGGATGTGTCCTCCCTGGAGAAGCACCTGCAGACGCTGCACGGCGCCACCACCCACTTCGACCAGGCCGGGCTGGAGGAGGAGTTCCGGGTAGGTGCCGACTTAAGGGCCACCTCTTACACGAAGCTGCTTTCAGTTGCTTCCCCCCCGTGATTGACCCCAGAAAACGCAGGGGAGCCGTCCTGCCCGTGACTTCCGAGGGAAGAGTACTGGGGACTTCCAGAGCTTAGCAACCACCTGTGCAGGGGGGCGTGTCGTGCATACACTTTTATTTCCCAAGACTCAGGAAGTGTCTGGAGAAGCAGACAGCTGTTTCCATTGAGCAGGTGCCCTTGACGGTAGAGCTGTTAGAAGGCTGAGGGGTCTCTCGGGAATGTCCGGGTTTTCACTGCACGGCTGTGTCCTCTTGGCCGCAGAAGCTGACAAATGTCCGGATCATGAAGGAGAACATGAGGACAGGCAACCTGCCGGCCAACATGAAGAAGGCCAGGGTCATCCAGATCATCCCGTGTAAGGCAGCCCGGGCCGCGGAGGGGAAGCCCTTGAGGCAGGCGTGATCGGGCTGGTACCCTCTGGCTTCAGTGGCTAAGAAGTCATTGCCCACCCACCCCTGTAAACCAGGGGTCAAGGGCAGGACGCCCTCTGGGAGCTCTGTCAAGTGTGGGGAAGGCACGAGTGACCCAGACAGTCCTGTGGGTGTCAGGCGGGCAGCTTGTGACCTGGACTTGGAGGCAGGAGGGGAGGACTTCCTGGAAGCGGTGAGATTCTGGCCTGACTCTGCCTCCTGCTTCTGCATGTCATCCAGTTCTACCGCAAGCCTGGGCAGAGGCATGGAGCCCCACGTACACAGAGCAGGGGTCCTGGCCCAGGATGTGTAGCAGGACCAAACTCAGCTGAGACCTTCCAGGAAGGGGCCTGGGGACGGGCGAACCACGGGCAGGGTGGCATCGGGCACTGGGCTGCCCGGGGTCTGGGGGCCTGCAGGAGCATCAGAGCAACCTGGGGGGAAGGGGAGGGCACCCACCTTGAGGGGAAGAGGACGCCTCATCCAGACGTCCCCTCCACCTCCCCGCCCGGGCTCAAGCTCGGGCAGGAGCGGGTCTCACGTGGACCTGCCCAGGCAGGCAGTGTGTGGGCTGGGAAAGTCCTCTTCAGCCTCCGACCCTATAGGGTCTTTGCGGCTGTGATGTCCCGGGCCGGCTACCCCGGGCTGCCTGCCTGGCCACACTCCTTTTACTCTTTAAATTTACTTTAATGCTTACGTTTTGGTAGGAATTACCTCAATTATGACAAAGGAGAACGATAAGTGGATTACTTTAGAACTTCCCTGGTAAAACACAGCTTCCTGGGCCACTTGAATTAACCTATTTTAGAAAGTAAACCTTCCTTTGAGTTGACTTTTTTTTAGTGATTTTATCCATAAGTTTTATGTCTCGGAAGCTCCTAGCAGCATGTTCAAGTTTGCAAGGCAGGATGGGGTTGGTTCTGACCCAGGGGACACACTGCTTTGCAGATGACTTCAACCGCGTCATCCTTTCCATGAAAAGGGGCCAGGAGTACACGGATTACATCAACGCGTCCTTTATAGACGTAAGTGCAGCGGCCCGGCCCTGCTTGTGTGCCTGCAGAGGACGCATGCTCTCTTCATCTGTAATCACAGAGACTCTTGATCAACTTGCTTTCACAATCAGAAAGGATGGACACGTCCACAGAAATCCAAACCATTTCATTAGCAGACACTTGCTTAAAGAAAATGAATAAGGAACTTTGGAAATAGAGGATGTAGGTGCGCTGCTAAATAATTTGCTATTTTTCCATTCTGCTTTTTTTAAAAAAAATTATTTATTTATTTTTGGCTGTGTTGGGTCTTCATTGCTGCACGCGGGCTTTCTCTAGTTGCGGTGAGCGGGGGCTACTCTTCATTGCGGTGCGCGGGCTTCTCATTGCGGTGGCTTCTCTTGTTGCGGAGCATGGGCTCTAGGTGCATGGGCTTCAGTAGTTGTGGCTCGCGGGCTTGGTATTTGTGGCTCGCGGGCTCTAGAGCGCAGGCTCGGTAGTTGTGGTGCACGGGCTTAGTTGCTCCGCGGCATGTGGGATCTTCCCGGCTCAGGGCTCGAACCCGTGTCCCCTGCATTGGCAGGCGGATTCTTAACCACTGCGCCACCAGGGAAGCCCTCCATTCTGCTTTTAATACATAGTGGCTTCCCTTTTCCCTCTCTGTTGCACACCACCCTCTCTCAGTGCTTGCACACGCTTTCTCTCGCATGTGCTGTGCGTGGACAGCACGATTGTGTTCAGGCCCAGTCTTAGGCTGCTTCGTGCATAGCAGAGTTAGCTGATGAATGGGCAGGAGAGAGCATAGCAGCCAAGTCTGCGCAAGGTTTTTGTTTGCAGGTGAGAATGCTGTGCCAGGGGTCACTTGGGCCCGAGGGGAGGACCTGGGACTTGAACCCACTTGCTCTAACTCCATGCCCAGGCTCGCTGCCCCACTGCGATGCTAACTTAGCTGTGACACATACAGACATGTTAGAATCAAAGCCAGCCCAAGCAAGGGGTTCATGATACCCATTCAGAGGTGACCTGGGGCTGAAGGGGGGCTGTCTAGCTTGGGCATCTTGACCTGTTTTCTGAGCGTGTGCCAGCTGGCGCTTGGCTCAGGCCCTGGAAGCCTGGAGAATACTGTCCCTCATCTGGCCCTGGGCTGTCCTATACTCACATGTCCCACGGTGGAAATGGGTTGGAAGGAAGTCGGACTTTAACCTCTGCTCCCATTTGAAGGGCTACCGGCAGAAGGACTACTTCATCGCCACCCAGGGGCCCCTGGCGCACACAGTGGAGGACTTCTGGAGGATGGTCTGGGAGCGGGAGTGCCATACGATCGTGATGCTGACCGAGGTCCAGGAGAGAGAGCAGGTCAGGGCGCCGCCCAGCCCACCTGTGGGGCCGTTAACACACACCAGGTGCAGCCCACCTGATGTGACTACCTGTCCCTTGTGAATGTCTCACCCGCTGTCGTCTGTGAGGCCAGGCCACAACTACTGAGGAGGGGGAGAGGCTGGAAATGGAAAAGGTTTTGTTTCATCACCACGCCCACCACAAGTTAATCGTAACTACCCACTGGCTTTATTCTTAGCCTACATTTTATTTAACCTGCCTTGAAATTCTGCCATCTTGTGTTTGCCACAAATACAAATTTGGTCACAACCTGTTGAAGAAAAAGACATTTATTCACTTTTTTTTGGAACAGAAAGACATAGGTATTGATATATGTACCTAATTAATATAGTTCTGGTAAAACTGAAAGAGTTAAACATTTCTTTTTTCCCAAAGATCCATGCATGGCCTTCTTGTTTTGTGGGGTTTTTTTGTTGTTTTTTCTTTTCGGTATGCGGGCCTCTCACTGTTGCGGCCTCTCCCGTTGCGGAGCACAGGCTCCGGACGCGCAGGCTCAGCGGCCATGGCTCACGGGCCCAACCGCTCCACGGCATGTGGGATCTTCCTGGACCGGGGCACGAACCCACGTCCCCCGCATCGGCAGGCGGACTCTCAACCACTGCGCCACCAGGGTAGCCCCAGCCTTCTTGTTTTTATTTAATAACGTAATAAACAGTCACAAACCCACCATCCAGCTGAAAAACCAAACTTTTGCCAATAATGTACATTTTTCCAGATTCTCCCAAGAGGTAACCACTGTCCTGAATTTGTGTTTTTTGATTTCTTTGCTTTTTAAAACCAGTTTTGTTGGGATATAATTCACATACCATACAATTCATCTTTCTAAAGGAAAAGTGGTTTCTAGTATATTCAGAGTTGTGCAGCATCACTAATTCCAGATCATTTTCATCACCCCAAAAAGAAACCCCATACCCACAAAAAAATCACTTACCCACTTCCTCCCCGCAGTCCCTGCAATGACAAATCTACTTTCTGACTCCATGGATTTGCGTCTTCTGGACATTTCATATAAGTGGGATCATACACGTCTTTCGTGATTGAGCTCTTCCACTTAGCGTAAATGTCGTCAGGGTTCATCCGTGAATCAGTTCCCCGCTCTTTTTTACTTTTTATTGTATAAATATACCGCATTTTGTTTATTCATTCATTAGTTGATGGATATTTGCGTTGTTTTCACTCGGGCTATTATGAATAATGTTTTGAACGTTCATGGACAGGTTTTTACATGAATGTTAACTTTTAATTTCTCTTAGGTAGATACCTAGGGGTGGAATTGCTGGGCCATATCATGACTATATTGCAATCTCATATCACTTAACATTTGGAGGAACTGCCAGACTGCTGTCCGAGCAGCTGCCCCGTGTTGCATTCCCACCAACAATGCACAAGGGTTCCATTTTCTCGCCATCCTCATCAACACTTATCATTATCTTTTCAATTAAAGCCACCCTAGGAGATGTGTTCTTAGCTTTTTAAAAAATCTTTTGATATCACGTGTGTGTATTCCTAAAGAAACAACTGTTTAGTTTTGTCTGCTTTTGAACTTTATTCAAAAGTTGAGTTGGGGGCTTCCCTGTTGGCGCAGTGGTTGAGAGTCTGCCTGCCTATGCAGGGGACACGGGTTCGTGCCCCGGTCCGGGAAGATCCCACATGCCACGGAGCGGCTGGGCCTGTGAGCCATGGCCGCTGAGCCTGCGCGTCTGGAGCCTGTGCTCCGCAACAGGAGAGGCCACAACAGTGAGAGGCCTGCGTACCGCAAAAAAAAAAAAAAGAAAGTTGAGTTGGTTTTTCCACTCAAAATTATGCATTTGATATTCTCCTATGTTGCTGCCTATAACTATGGCTCATTCATCATTATTTCCTTATACTCCACAACACAAACTGTACATCCTGCATCCATTGACTTTGCCCCTTCTCCTGTCATGGGCATTTGGGTTGATTCCATTCTGCTGTTTTACAAACAGTGCTGCGGGTACTTTCTTGTACGTGTCTCATGGTGCACAAGGAATAGTAGGTTCCAAAGAGACAAAATGCTGCACTGGAGAGTGTGTGTGAAAGTTTGAATTTGCAAGACATTTCCTAATGGCTTTCCAAAGTGGTTGTGGTTTCCAAAGTGGTCAGTGGGGAATATCATTCATCGACGTCCCTAGGGTTGTCTGATGTCCTCATTTTTGTTAATTAAATAGGTATAAACATCATCTCTTTGTGTCCTTGATTTGCACCTCTCTGATCCCTGTGAGGTCAGGAATCACTGCATATTTATAGAGGTCATGTTTCGTCTTGTGCAAAGTGCCTGTTCATGCCTTTCACTCATTTTTTTAGTGGGTTGTTTGCCCTTTTCTTATTGATTTATAGGATTTCTTTACGTATTCTTGGTACGGATCCCTTGTCGGTTTTACGTATGGCAAATATCTCATCCCAGCTGATGGTCTGTCTTTTCATTCTCTTGATATTTTTGGATGAAGCAGAGTTAATTTTATTATAATCTGATGTTGCAATCTGCTGTATCATGGTTGGTTTGCTCTTTGGGGCTCTTGTTTGTTAAATCTGTCCTCCAAAATGAAAAGGTATTTTCTTCTTCTAAGGCTTTCACAGTTTTGTTTTGGACGTTGAGTCTGACCCTGTCTTGGTTTGTTTTTATTAAGGTTCAAGGCTACCATATATGGTAGGGCAAGTTCTACGCTGCCCAACTCCAGGAGGGGCTGGGGCATTCGTATCAGCCCAGGTAGGGTGTGAGTCAGGGATCCAGTTCCCTTTTCCCATATGGAGAACTGATTTCCCAGCTCCATTTACTGACTAGTCTCTCCTCTGTGTCATGTCACTTCTGTTCTGTATCAAAGTTGCAAATACACGCATGTCTGTTTCTGGACTCTGCTCTGTTCCCTCGGTCAACAGGCACTGGTAGCATTCACATTTGTGTTCATATGTTATTTTCTTGGTCAGACGAAATACGTTAAATGCTTTGAGAGCAATTCTGCACCAGATCGTCAAAACTGCTAGCAGCAAATTCTTTTTATGTTATCCCCCAAGGATAAATGCTGCCAGTATTGGCCAACAGAGGGCTCAGTGACTCATGGAGAAATAACGATCGAAATAAAGAGCGATACCCTTTCTGAAGCCATCAGTATACGAGACTTCCTGGTCACTTTCAATCAGGTATTGTTGCCCAAGCCCTTTAATCTCTTGTGGACATCACTCTGGGTCTGCTTGTCATTGTGCCAGAGTGTCCTGCTCCTTCAGGCTTTTCCGGAGCCCCAAGTTAGATTAGTATCGACGGCCAGTGAGGACAGTATGAAGCTGCGTTATCAAGTGGCCGATCTCCCATAAGATTTGACCTCGTGGTCCCCTGCCTCCTTGCTGGAGCACGGGGATGGGGGGGCAAAGTGGCCAATTCCGAGAGGTGTCCCACTGCCACCCGCTCCCCAGGAGCAAAGACCGTGGCCGAGAGCAGGAAGAATGAGTGGATGAATCCACAGAGGCCTCTCTGGGGCTCTCTGCCATCCCCCCTCCCCACCGGGTCTTGGGCACTGCTCCCTGGCAAGAATGGGGACGCTGTGTGTCAACTGTGGGTAAGATGACCCACCTATGGGATTTGATTCTGAGCTCAAGGCGGTCAGAACAGTGAAACCCAGCTTTGCCCAAAGACTTGTTCTCCTCCACGCGGGTCGCAGAACGACCCAGGGCCGCTTGACTCAGAAACTCCTCATCTCCAGCCTTGAAGGGACGTGTAGGGTCCTGGCCTCTTAAAAAAAGGGATGATTCCTGTTAGCTCCAGCAAAACTGCCGAGGATCCCGTAGAGGGGTCTGGGGGGCCCTGGGGACTCAGGGGCGCATCCTCTGAGTGTCCTGTCCCCACCCAGAAGGAGGCACTGCTGGCCTTCTGCTTTAGGGTGTCCACGGCCTACAAACACCCTGACCGGGAGGCCAGCCACATGGGAACTCTGCTGGCCGCCAGACACCGTGGCCCGAGTCCCCGGGAGGGCAGGGGAGCCTGCGGTGGGGCAGCACTGAGGCGCCCTTCCCGCCCGGCAGCCCCTGGCCCGCCAGGAGGAGCAGACCCGGGTCGTGCGACAGTTCCACTTCCATGGCTGGCCGGAGATCGGGATCCCCGCCGAGGGCAAAGGCATGATCGACCTCATTGCGGCCGTGCAGAAGCAGCAGCAGCAGACGGGCGATCACCCCATCACCGTGCACTGCAGGTGAGCAGCGCCTGGGGGCCCGGGCAGCCCTGCTGGTGGGGCGGACACAGACCCCACTCCCAGTTCACTGCTCCCAGTAGCATCATTTGCCTGGACGGTATCCTTGCCCTTCCCTTACACACGTCACATAACGCAAATGCATAGGTGTCATCTTACCATAACACGCAGAAGCATTTGGGCAGAAGGAGTCAGGAAATGCCTCAAACACACACTTCTTTGTGCTTCTTAAGTTGTCGGAAAAAGAAAAAAGATTGCCAGGCACCGCTCCGACAAACCCTGAACTTGAGTCGTCTTCGTTTTGAAAGGCCGTCTGACTCTGGCTGGTGCGCCCACCCAGCACAGCAGGAGGCTCTTCTGAGCTTCTCACGGATGTCCGGGCTGGGGTCCATAACGGAGGGCCCACCGCTCCACACCCTCCCTCTCAGCCCGGCTCCCGAGTTAGGCCCAAGGGCAGAGGGACACACTAGGGGGACCCCTGGACACAGCTGGGCGCCCCCAGCAAAGACTTTGAAAGACGGCATCACGAGGGTAGAGGGTGAATCGGCTGAACCTAGACACCTGCCAGCTCCCCTTTTTTGCTGGGCCAGGCCCCCCTGCTGGCAGGGGCCTTGACCACCCTTGCAAAGCTCTTCCTCGCGTTTGGGGAGTTGGATCTCGGGGCTGCTGATTTGCCTCCAAGGCTGCACTTCTGTTCCTTTGTCTGCACGTGTGGCTCCCACGTTTTTGCGACTGCCATTGGCACCGACCCACTTCGCCTTGTAGCTGATAACACCCAGCGTGGAGGGTTTGGGCCTCTTTCCTTGTCTGGGACCTGCCTGGCGCACTTCCGGCCTGGCCAGCAGGGAGAGCACATGCCTCAGTTTCCAGTCCCTGGTGCCTTTGTAGATGTCGTTTTGAGTTCCTTTTTGTTCCACCTCTGCAAACCCAGACTGAGCTTAACACGTGTTGGACACCAGGGATGCAAAGGTGAAGGAGACCCACAAGGTCATCCCACCTGTGGGAAGGCAGACGCAGGGAGAGCAGCTGTAGAGTCAGCCCACAGGTGGGATTCCAGGGCCCAGAGGGCAGCCGTGCATCCCCAGAGGGCTCCCTGGAAGAGGCCAGCCAAGCCCGCCTCCATTAGGTCTGGTCTACACAAGGAAGAAGGGAAATGGTTCCACCAGCTTAAAAACTTGTAACCGGTCCTGATTCAACTCATGTTGTAATTAGGCAAGTGTTTTAGGAATTTTATGTTTGCTGACTCTTAGTCCAAAGCTAAGCTACCTATAAATGATCATTAAAAATCCAAGCTCCAGTCATTCCAGTACTGACGTGTAGGGCTTGGCGGAGGCTGTGGGATTCTCGTGCCCGTGGGTGCGTCTGAGTATCTCATCCAGCACGTTTTCTCTGCAGTGCTGGAGCTGGGCGCACAGGGACTTTCATAGCACTCAGCAACATTCTGGAACGGGTCAAAGCTGAGGGACTTTTAGACGTATTCCAAGCTGTGAAGAGCTTACGACTTCAGAGGCCACATATGGTGCAAACCCTGGTAAGAAACCGTTTCCAGAGGGATCGAGAATGGTCTCATGTTGAATCTGAGGTAGCTTCATTGAAGGAGTTCAAGTCCACGGGGAAGGAGGGAGGTAAAGTTTCCAAGAAAAAGAGCTAAAGGTTCCAGTCAGCTCACAGTAAAGCTCTACAGACCCCCTTCTTCCCTTGCGTCTGGCTGGGGTCTGTCCCCCGGGCAGGACACGTGAGGAGGGGCACACACATGACTTCAGATGGTAAGACCCCTTGGACAGAGGCACAGATGATAGCAACCGTTATGTCAGAGTGAACTGTTCCTCCAGATTCCAATGTGCATTTAAATATGTACCAAGTTCAAAAATAGCACTGACGTTTCCAGTCCTGATTCTTGTAATCGATCTTCCACTGTTCGTGTGGACTCTGTTCCTTGGCTGGATCTCACTCAGCCTCCAGACACTGCCCAGGGGCCTTACTTAAGGAGTCCGTGCAATGCACAGTTCCTTCTCACGTTCTCTTTCATTTCGTGGTGAAAACACACACTTGCTGGTTTTCGGAAGCGATGCCTCTTCACCAAATTTGGTGATTGTTCTGCAATGGCAAGGTCAGTTTCAAAGGCTGTTATAACCCGTCGTTTTCCCCAAGGCTTCTTCTTTTAGCACTTGCCCTCCCGGCCCGGCCCACTCATTCTCTGTGCTAACTGGGTCCCGACTCAGGCATTTTCCTTTCCTCTCCCGTCCGGGGGCTGGGTGATCGGGTGGGAATCTTAGTAGCTGGAAGGGAGGACCCCCACCGTCCATTCTTGGCTCTCCTGACAACCTCCCTGCAACCTCAGGACAGCAGTTTTCTGCCTCATCTTTTCTTCCCCTGGAAAGCCCAGCTCCTTCCCATGATGGCTGGACTGAGACTCCAGAACAGCCAGACAGGCTAATGTTTGGCCTCTTCCAACCCAAAAACCTGTAGATTTTTGTTCAATGGGAATTTAGAGAAGAGGCTGAACCCAAGGTGTTGGGAAAGAAGAGGGAGGGGGATGAGGAACGCCCTTGGTCCCCCTGCTTCCCCAGCTCCCATGTTCACTGGGCCAGCAAATGACCAGGGTCTGCAAGGAACCAGACCCTTTTAGGGTAGCTGTTGTTACTTGAACCTGGCTGCCTACCATTGTGCACGCGTGGTTTTCCGAGGCACACAGTAGGCTCACTAAGGAAGCCCTGCGGTGGCCATTTTCCCCAGCTCTTTTATTTCCTCGTTTGAGTGCCCGTTAGGGGCCGTGTCACACAACCCGCTTTCTGGTCCCCTGTTAACCCGCCATCTGGCTCTAGTCTCACCACCTCAAAGAGCCACTGGGGGGTCTGGAGTCAGCTGATATCCAAGTGTTCCAATAAGTTAACAGCCTTATACATATGCAACACAGTTTTCTTTTAAATTCTAGTAAAATTGATATAAAGCAATGCCCTTTTATAGTGTAAATTTAGGCTTAAAAATAATCTATATTTCTGTCTTATTTAACTTCTATAGATTATTTTCATTACACTCTGAAGTTTGATGTTAAGTATGCTCAATTTTTTTCAGTTCAAAAGTGGTTATTTTTAAGTTTAAATATGAAAACTAAAGATCTCTCACTCAGACTGTCCAAAATACACTAAGCTAAAGTTGAAACTGAACATTGACATTTTCTATGTAGAAAAGCAGCTTTATTTGGAAACGTTCATGTGCCTAGAAACTAAATTATATAACAGAAGCTGATACGCAGTAGGATATACAGTATTTCAATAACTGGTCAGACTTTTTTATGTCTTCTCTTTAAAGTTTCTCCTCATTCAATTAGGCAAATTTTTTTTCATATTATCTTAATGTGTTCTTGTTTTTCTTTTTCAGGAACAGTATGAATTCTGCTACAAAGTGGTACAAGATTTTATTGATATATTTTCTGATTATGCTAATTTCAAATGAAAATTCCTGCCTTAAAATATTTTTTAATTTAATGGTCAGTATATTTTGTAAAAATCATGTTAATTTATTTCATAGTTGACATTAATATCCTCCTAATTTCTTTGTATATATTTTGTTATGCTTAAAGGCCACCTGCTGTAAAGTTATTAAATCTTAAATACCCCTTTTAAAAACTGGAATAATGTATTAAGGTTAAATAATATTCCATAAAATATATATTTCTGCTAATATCAGTAAAAATATTTTAATTTTTCATTAGATTCATATCATTTCATTTCACACAGTCAGCACCTCTAAATGTTAAAAATCTTAATATGACAAGTGTGTTTATTTATGCAAGATACTAATCACAACTTCCTTAGAAAACAGTCGAGGACTCAGAAATCGGTGGAAAATACATTTTCCTGACACTGATTTTACAGCCCTGAGCAGTGGCAGGTTTTTTTTGTTTTTTGGGGTTTTTTTGCGGTACGCGGGCCTCTCACTGCCGCGGCCCCTCCTGCCAGGGAGCGCAGGCTCCGGCCGCTCCGCGTCATGTGGGATCTTCCCGGACCAAGGCACGAACCCGTGTCCCCTGCATCGGCAGGCGGACTCTCAACCACTGCGCCACCAGGGAAGCCCCCCAGTGGCAGTTTTGTGAAAGCAAACTGTTTGTGAAGATACAGTGTAAATAGGGAATTCTGTAGTCCTCAGTCTCAACCCACGTGGTTTTTCTTTACATTTTAAAGATCAAAGAAGACTTTACAACCTGAGTCCAAGTCTAAAACACACTGGAGTAGTCAGTGACTATATAGTAATACTTAAAAATGCATTTATTCAAGGCTGTGTCGTGCCATCTTGGCCAGATGAGAAAGATGTAAAGGCCAGTGGTCCAGTTCGCACGGGCCTTGGGTCCGGCAAAACCAGTTATCAGAGTTTCAGTCCCACGGCGCTGGGCGCTGCTTGCTGTCCGTCTGTCTGAGAATCACACCCACTGCACTTCTCACTCCCCCCCCGCACCCCGCCATTCTGCCCTGCTTGTTGTGAGCTGTGCTTCAAGGCATGACAAAAAACCACTTCCATTCCAAAAGGTCAGATAGAGCGTCTGACACGCATGGAAGCAAGGAGCTCCCGCCTGGTAGAAACAGTTGGGCAGCCACAAGCAATTATGCTTTAAACTTTCTGAGAAGCATTTTGGTATTTAAAAATCTCTTGTAAATGCTAAGACTGTTTGTAAGAAAAGAAATCTTAAAATCTAGATTTATACAGTTTTTTTTAAAGTCCCACTCCTCGATATTTAATAAAAGAAAAAGAGAAATCCTTAATCTAAAGGCTAATTTATTTTTGAATGGTTACTAGTGAGACCTCTGACACTGGATAATAATGATCTCACTGCCAGACAGGATTGGCTTATGGGGCAAAAAAAAAGAGAAGGGGATGAATGTAAAAAGGTTTGATTTAATGGCAGTGATCTGTCTGTGGCTGTTAGGTACCTAGCCGATGAGCACAATATAAAAAAAAGACATCTGAAAACATTTAACATGTGCATTTTTGGGTACACTTTTTGCTTTTTAAAAGAGATGTGAATGTGAAGGCCTTTATTTGATATTTCCACTGGTAACTGATTGCACAAAGGTAACCCAGGGTAAGTTACATCCTAATAACAAGCCCGCGGGTGATCAAGCTTCTGCCACTCCTCCGAGCCCCACCCAAGGGTCAGATGAGGTGCCCAGCTGCACGGACAAAAGCACAACTTTGTGAACGCTGCCATGGCCACCAGCCTGCAGCCCTGAGCTCCACACACAGCTGAATGCGTCCCTCACCCTTCTGGGTACAATGATTATGCATTTGGGTCGAAGAGAAAATGGAGGGAGCTTTGCGAGATGCACCTGGTGGCCCTGTTTGTTTTCATTGTTAAAGTCCCAAGCCCGAAGCCCTTCTTGACTAAAGGGGAGGAGAGAAAACTGAGCACCAAAGCCTAGAAACAGAGCCGGTGTTTGTGGTGAAGGCGACATATAGGGGTCGAGACGCCTGGATTGGGGTCCAAATTTAGGAGCCTTTAGTGAGAATCCTTCAGGCCCTTCATTGGTCTTACTGGCATCTCTTGAGATTAAGGTAGACCTTCTCGGGGAAGCGCCCCGTTTGTGTGTTCTTCTGCCCCCTTGTGCATCCCCCTTGTCTGCTGCGGTTCCGCCCTCATGGTTCCGAGAACAGAGCGGAAGCCACTGTCCCTGGGTTGCAGGACCCCCTCCGCCTTTGGGGCAGTTCTTGCCTCCCAGTAGCTGCAGCCTCCTAGCCTCGGCCCCGGTCCTGGTTCAGACAGCCTTGGTGGGCGCTCCGGGACTCCTGTCCTCTCTGTCTCGCTGGGATAGTTTGACTCTTCCTCCCCTTCGGTGAAAGAAAGTCCATTGTACATAACAAAATGGCGCCAGGCTGGTAAAGTCATTTTTCTTTGCCAGTTTTCTCCGTTGCATGCGGCTACATTCAAACGCCAAATAGCGATTAGAAGACGACCATTCTGATCTCCTTGCTGTTACCAGTCACTGTGTGACTCACTTGACTGTTTCTCTCCATGTGCTCTACGAATGAAGAATGCATACCAGTGTTTTAAAAGGTATTTTTATGTGTTTTTTAAAACTTTTTAAAACGAGCCTGACACCTCTGTTTCAGCATTTGGAGTCACGCCCATGTTATTTTTTAAAATGTGTGATTACTGATACTTCTGTTGTGTTTTTGTTAATTTATGTGCAATCTTGATAATATATGTATGTATTCCGGTTTCATTTTTTCTTTTATTCCGTTTATCACTTGATCTTGCACTGATTATGATGCCAGTGAATGCTGCTGAATTCTGTGTATATGCAAATTGCAACATCCAAAACATTCTGATGCGAGGATAAATCTTTACTTTGACTCCAGCCTGCGTCTCTTTCTTCACTGAAATCTCCTTATCTCGTTCCTCTGCCTTAAATCCTTTTAGACAAGACATTCATTAGGAGGGAAGCATTGATTTACGCAATTTTAGGACTTGTAAAATTTAGCTCGGACGTGGTGTAGAAACAGTCCCCCGGGCAGGAGTGGGCATGATGGCCAGTGGGCCGGTCTTCAGAAGTCCTGAGGGTGTGTGGGTCACTAGTCACAGCGGCCCTGCAGAGGGCCCCCATCCCTCCTCCGGTCCAAACAGGGCTCCGAGCTCTGAGCAGTGGTTTCCCAGCATCTACGAGGAAGGTGACCACGTGCTCAAAGTCCACAGCCAGAAGGGGTCAGAGAGCCCTTCTAATGTCGCTTCTCCTCCTAAAACCTAAACACCTGTTAGGCCTCCCTTTACACGCCTTGTGTCTCTGGTGATCCCAGCTCTCTTTTTCAGCTTCCCCGCCCTTCCCCAGCTCACACCCCAGCTTCCTCTTTTAGATATTCTGGGCCTAATGTGGAAATCTAAACATCTGCTTTTTATTCTTGGTTGTATTTATTTAATAAATTTTATAAGCCTTGTTATATTTGTTACAGATGTGATTAATTAGGATGAGGGCCTAGGAGTCGGGTGGGCCATCAGGGTGGGTCCATTCTACTCCAGTGTGAGGGCGCCTTTATGAGAAGAGGGAACTTGGACCCAGAGACACACGCACAGGGAGAAGAACATGTGAAAAGAAGGCAGGCGTTGGAGTGATGCTTCCGCAAACTAGGAAGCCCGGAGGCTGCCGGAGACCAGGGAGTGGCTTCTCTTTCACAGCCTCGGAAGGAAGCAACCTGGACTTGGCCTTCGTGCCTGCAGGACTGGAGACAATAGGATTGGGTTGTTTGAACCACCTGGTTTGTGGCACTTTGTTAGGACGGCCTTAGCAGAACAACACCCTGCCCCCGCTCTGACCCCTACATCCAAGGTTTCTGTTGTTGGATGTCCCCGAAAGAAGGCCTGAATCAAGCACGTGGGTGCAGGTAGCTAATGGGGAGGAGACCCCGGCACGTGCGAGTGAGGGAACAGGGCGGGAGGGGCAGCACAAAGAACCCCCACCCCCGGGGACTCGACTCTGCAGTGATGCCCGAGGGCCTCCCCGAGTCGCCCTCCCGAAGGACGGGACCCTGGAGCCTTGCCCCGCCACTACCCCCGGCCCAAGTTGGAGGTTTTCTCCAGCGGTGCCAGCCCCTGGTCTCAAAGGACGGTGTCACCCTGCCGACACAGATGGAGATGTGTTTGTTGTACAAGTTCAAAGCAAACAGAAAGAGTGTGCACGAACTTGGCCTTTCACTCGGTTCCTCTTCTCCACCTCAGTGCATTGGTAACTTTGGGGTACATCCTTCCAGACAGCTGTCTGCAGATTTAAACCTGTACAGTTACGTAAACACACGGCCTCTTGCTTGCTTGTTTGTTTATAAAAACAACAGAGCCGAACTCCCGGTATATCATCAAATCCAGGATGAGAGAATTGCCAAACCCTCTTTGTTTTGCTGAGAAGGCAAACACACTGCCAGTTATTTCTTGCAAGACACCGTCAGTTTTGAGATGCATCCTGCTGTTCGAGAGGTGAACATGTAAAAACCTGGTATCTTAGAACGACAAAATGCACTACCTGCGGCCAGTTGTGTAAATTGCCCCTTTGTCCCGCCTTAGGATAGGGCCATGTCAGCACATACACAGCTTCCTCATCCTGTCTAAAGGCTGCTTGGCATTCCTGGCATAGAGCTACTCTGATGGATGTAAAACGTGGAGACTAACCCTTTGTTATTCATGTTATAAATATTTCCCTTCGATGCTTTATAAAAGACTGTCCTTGATGGCTATCTAACGTCCCTTGTCCAGGAAGCTTTGGGACTTACCAGCCTGTAGACAGGGTTGCTGGGTGTGGGGGTGATTCCGCCTGGCAGCAGGGCCCTCTGTGGCCCTTGCATGGCGGCACCCAATAAACGCATCAAACCAAACATTCATGCCTGTGGAATCACCGTGTAGACGCCAGGAGGGGCTTCATGTGAACAAGTCCTGGGCACTTTTTGTTCCTCTGTGAAGAGCAATGTTGATGACATCCATGTGTCAGCATGGCGCTCTGTAGCAGGAGGGAAGACTGCAGCCATGTCCAGGAGACGGCCCGAGGCCTGGGGGTCTGCACGGCACCGGAATCAGGGTCCCTCGGGCTGTGGCTGGAGCATCGCATCTGTGTCTGGAAAGATGATCCCACCAGCTCTTCTAGAGGAATCGTCTAGAAAGCCCAGCAGATGGGCGGATCCCAGCCACAGTGTCTTAATGCCGTTTTCAGTTCAGTAGCTGGACTTGACTATGGAGTTGACATTTACAATGTACTTTCCACGGCAACCGGACACCTCCACCCAGCGCGCCCATCTGCCGGGGCCTGAATTCCTCCATCTTGACTGTGTTTAGGACTCAGGATGGCCCTTCCTTCCTGCCTCAGCCCCTCCAGATAGTAATGAACTTGACGCCTGGACACCCAAAAGCCTTTCTCTGCCCCTGACAGACTTCTTCCTGGGAACAAACCGACCCACGACGGGCTCCCACCCCCTGACTTGCCCGCAAGTTCACTCCCAGGATCTACTCACGTTAGGACGGCCAACCTCGGGGCAACATGCATCTTCGTTTGCTGACTCTGCGGCCCTGACCAAATCCCTGTCCTTGGACTCCCCACTTCTGTCCAGACGAATAGGACAGAGCCAGGGTTGTGGCAGTCCCCTTCCCCGAATACAAGGGCCGTTCCTGCAGGACCAAAGTGGGCCTGCTGGCCAGGAGGGGAAGCAACTGTCTGGCCACGTCAGAGCTGGGGAAATGCAGACAGGCCAAAGAGCCCACGCCGACCCACCCCGTCTGCCACTGTCTTGCTTTGGTTTGGTTTTCTTTCCCTTCCCTCCCTTTAATAAAAAAATACCATGGGTTTTAAGATCATTTCATCCCAGACACCTCCTGCACAGGGTCACCAGGGTATCGAGACTTGTCCATCCATGGTCTGGCCTCCTGGATGGACAAAGCTTTGTCCTAGAGGGGGGCGTCTAGTTTTCACTGCACTACATCCCACGAGGATGCACACCAAGACCCCAGGATGCAAAACGGGGGACTAACCCAGCCTGGGAAATGGGGATGGGGTTGAACGAGGCTTCTCCGAGGGAGTCTCACTGGAGCTGAGCTTGGGGCTGAAGGGGACCATCTTGTGAAGCAGGAGGTGGGGAAAGTCCGAGGCAGAGAAGAGAGGAGGGCGTATGTGTGTGTTCGTGTGTGTGTGTGTGTGTTCACCTGCATGTGTATGTGCGTATAAACGCATGAATGTGTATGCATGTATATACGAGTGTAGGAAGGGGTGTGGACCCATGTATATGTTTATGTATATGCATGTGTATATGTGTGCAGGTCTATGTATGTGTGAGGGGGGGTGGAGGGGTTTAACTAAGAAAGACAGAAGTTGGCTGGTACAGAACTGGAGCAAAGCAGTCAAGGAGAGACTGTGGCAGCCGCATCACGGAAACGCTTGGAGATGAAAAGGTAACAACAGCTCCCGTTGTGCTCGCTTCAGCCGCACACATACAAAAACTGCAACAATACGGAGACGATGAGCACGGCCCCTGCACAAGGATGACACGCAGATGCGTGAAGTGTTCCATATTTTTTGTTATACGGCAGAAACTAACACAACATTGTAAAGCAATTTATACTCCAATAAAGATGTTAAAAAAAAAAAAAAGAATAGCTTCCATTTACTGAGAACTTTCCATCAGAGCGATGTTACTCCCTTGGAATCTGAGGCTCAGAGAAGGCACCAAACCACACAGCGAGTAGGCATTTATCTCTTGTACCCCATTAGCCTGGCTAAATATTAGTGGTTAATATTTCTGACCCTTCACCCTCAAGGATGCGAAATAAAGGCTGTGTCCTGTGGACATGGGCTCTTTTAAACACTTGTTTGAATGACCTTTTCTAATCCAGCACCTACAACCCTATAAAATAAAACCACTCTTATGCTCTTGAAATACTGTACTTACGAAGGCGAGAAAATATGCTGATATATTTCAGTGAGATTTTTGGTTAGAATTGAACCCTAAGAGCTTTCTAATTAATTTTTATCCCATTCCCCAGGCATACAGCTAATTGAAATTTTTCTATATGTAAGGTTCATAATTATTACTAAATGTGAAGTGTTGGCAGAACAACTTAATCGTAGAAAACTCCTGTTTTACAATTTCTTGAATCTTGCCTACCTAAATGACACATGTGTGACTCACACCTTCAAATAGAGTGCCTTTTCTAATGAGGGTTGCGTTTCCTAAAATACTCTCCCTTCTGCTCACCAGAATCCCACCCCTCTTCCTGGCCCAGCTCTTTGAATGTCCCCTCCCTGCTTCATCCTCAACCCTCCTACCTCCATCTGTCACTCCCTCCCTTAAGATTTCAGACAACACTGTCTAAAACTGTATTATAGCAGCCAAAATAGCAAAAGCAAATACCACTGACTCAGCAGACACGCCTGGATTCATGCATTCGTTCAGCAAACATTTATTGTTATCTGGACCTGGATCCATGCCAGACACGGGGGTTACAAGAGTAGACAGACAGGGGCACCAGTGTTACAGGTCACACTCTAGGGGACAGCGACCTTTTCTTATCTTCCATCCTTACCTCCACCTGGCAAGGTAGGTGAATGGGGAGGACAGGTGACTGGAGGGAAGGTGTGCTCATTTCTGATTTAGGGAACACAAAGGGACAGGAGGACAAAGCAGAACAGCAGTGTGACGGAGGCTCTGAAACTGAAGAAAGACGGAAGTCCAGGCTTGAAACGAGATGTAGGAGCCATGGGCTCCCGTGTTAAGTGACTCAGAAATGGTGGGGGAAGAGCCTCATGCTCTGTGGCTGTCAGATGGCCGCTCTCTTGGGGGAAACGTTTGGGTTTGTGTTGCTCCGTCCAAGGTGACCTGCTGGGGACTAAGACAGGCCAACAGGTGTGGTCAGAGAAAACAGGTGAGAGCAGATTTGCAGAAAGCTCAGAATATGCAGATGACATGAAAGCTCAGAGGGGTGCTACAGTTTGGAATTGAGGGGCACCCTGGCCGATGGCCCTAAGATTGAGTGGGGCGATGACTTCTCAGATGAAAGCAGTCCTAGTTTAGACAAAGATGCTCAACGTGGAAAAGGCAAGCTACCCGTCATTCCTCAAAGTCTCGTTACCCTGAAAATGGCATCGCAAACTGTCCTCCACATCACACATTTATTCCCTTAAGTGGTCAGGACACCAAGGAGAGGACAGTCCTGTGCAGATGACCCACAGCCCTCGTGCCTGGACCCGAGGTCTCCCCAGTGTAAAGGTACACCTTGTAACTTTCATTTTTCTCTTCCTATACCCACTCATTCATATTTCCAGAATGCCTGCCTGGTGTTGGGGGTGCAGGACAGAAGCCCCGCCTTTCACATTTGGATGGAGGAGGTATGTACATGAAGGACACAGACACACACGGAAACATTTACAACACAGCATGGCAAGTGCCTGAGCCCACGGCCAATGGGGGCTGACCGTGGAAGTCACAAACTCCAGGGCTTCATCTCGCCAAGTTGAAGGCCACACCTTGGCAAACCCCCCCCCGCCCCTGCCCCCCACCCACCCAAGCTTTAAATTTTTTTCAGTTTAGGAGACCCAGCAGTCTCCTTCATAACCTCCACATGGAGGTTTTGAATAAACTATTCAGAGTCAGAAAATTCCAAGCTTTCTTCCCTTAAACCTGCCCTCCCCTCCAGATAGCATTATTTACAGAATTCACTATAAAATGTACGGCAAATATTGTACTACAACTTATCGCTAAACTAAATTCATTACGTGTTTTTCCCTTTTAAGCTTCTTGGCTATGTATCTTCACTGTCGCGATGACTTCTGGTTCTTATTTTCTTGACACCCACATTGTCATTTTCCTGTTTGGGAACAAAAGTATAACTCTTAAGTAATTTAAAAGAACAATTTTTGTAACCGACTGTGCAAAAACCCCGATCCTTTCTAGGTGTGATGCAGGCCTTTAGTCCTAGAAAATTAATCTTGAGGTTGGAAATGAACTTTAAGATAGAGCCTGTGAAAGTTGCCTTAAACTGTTTTTACTATTTAATTTTTTAAAGTTAAATACTGTGTCCTTTGATAGAAAGGTTTGTAAGCTATTTTTAAGTTCATACATGATAAAAGGAGAAAGAAAATTTCCACACAAATACATACATTTTCACTAATTTTCATAAATACCATTCAGAAAAAGTGAATTCAAAGGTATAATCAGGCTGAAATATTTTTTTTCTTTTATACACAAAGACAATTATTTAAGACCTTTATTAACAGGTGCTTGCAGTTGGTTGATTGTTTTGAAAAAAATCAAGCTGTAAACTTTTATTACAAATAAAAAATGAGGTTCTTAAAAATCTCAACTTGACCAGATGTGAAACAAATTAAAAACCAGAAGACCCGAAAGGTTTCGGCCTGGTTTTTTCCTCAGACCAAAATCTTTTGGGTCTTCTAAACAACTGAGGTGTTTGAAGGGGACCACCCCCAATGCTACGTGAGTGTCAGCAGAGAGCACATTTGGGACGGGACAAAGGACACCAGACTGCCTCCCGGGTGGGAGCTCTGAACAGTGCTACCCACCTAAACACACCTCCACCTGCTCTTCATCCCAGCTTTCCAAAAGGACGCCTTCGAAATCAGGCGTTACCCCTCTGGAAGTTTCATTCAATCTCTAACCAGGGACTGAAGACAGCTGCCTGGAATCTTAATACAGGGTATGCAACGAGCAGTCAGAAAATACTAACTGGATAAATCCCTTTTCCTTCCTTTTTTTAAAAATTTTTGGCCACGGCAAGCAGGATCTTAGTTCCCTGACCAGCGACTGAACCTGAGCCCCCTGCAGTGGAAGCTCGGAGTCTTAACCCCTGGACCGCCAGGGAAGTCCCATCCCTTGCTTTTCCTGAATGATGACTTTATAATGTGAATTTACTTTTCAAAGTGGAATTCCCAAGCCAGATACACCTGAATATAGAGACACAAAATGTGGCTTAGATTCATGCCTCTTACCTTAGTCCAACCGGGAGCTGGTGGCGTGTTATTACATATCATGTGTTGTGTCTGCTCTAGCAACATGGGGCAAAAATCATAGTGAAACATTCTATGCACTTAAAAAAAGAGAAACAGGAAATCACTTGCCTTTTGGAGGCTGTTGGCACATCTCCTGGCACCCCGGGTTACTCTCTGCTCGGATCCACTCTCCGAAGTGTTTCCTTGAGGGCGGAGAGTAATCTTCCTGGATCTCAAACCCTTGAAGTCTGAATATTCCGTTACTTCTTTCTCTTCCTGCTTCTTCACGGGGATTTCCACCCTTTCCTGCCTTGCTGTCTCCTCTATTGCGTCAGGCAGAGCCTTCTGATTCTGCTTCCCAGATCTCAAGGGCCTCCTTCTGTCTTGAACTTTGCCCCCAGAGGTAGGATTCTCCGCTGCATCTTCTGGGCTTTGCAGCTTCATCTCTTGGGAGGTCTCCATGGACTTCTTTTCACTTCTCTTTATTTTCACCTTTCCTGCTGATATAAGAGACCCAGGTCTTTGCTCCTCTATATTCGTTTTAGTGGGGCGCCTGGTACGCAGGGACATTCCCTAAAAAAATTCAAAAGACATCCCCAAAACGTCAAGAATGAGGAATACAAACCTTAAAACTCCACATGGAGAAAATCATTCGAAAGTGAACTCAAAGGGGGATTAATTGGAAAATTTTCCATTGGTTCATTTTCTAAGATACCAGTAATCTAATCGAGTCAAGGGAGTAACTGTCACTTTGTTCCAATGGAGGAATCACCATTTCTACTGATAAACCGTAAGTAAGGAATTCAGTATAAATTCCAATCACAATGTCTGAATGTCATATACGTCAGTCTGATTATAACAAGCATTAAAAGGGTATTCCAGGAGAATGCCCCATTATTCAGGTAGTAAATGAATTCCTAATCCTTTAACAATCATTGATAGAGCAGGACAGGAAAATCTCAATTTCTGGAATCGAATTTACAAGCTTCTCTGTCTGACAACCCTGACAGTTAAGGTCTTCCCAAGACACACGCCCCGTGTAAATTGTTCTAATTGTTTCAATACTGATGCAGATAGTACTTCTACCCAGCACTCCAGGTCTCGGTGTCTGAAACAAGGCAGGACTGAATTGCCCACTTTTTCTCGGCACAAAGTTCCACACCTTTGAAGATGAACACAACTCAGTCACTTCCCGAGAAGTTCTTGGCAAAATGTGTAATAATAATTTTGACCAGTTATTTTCCCAAATTAGCCTATTCTAGAAATCCCCAAAGGATGCTTTACGAAGGTCTGCAGTTACTCACTGTGCTGAATGCAGACCCCGTGGGGAAAGGGTACCCACACATACATTTGCGTTATGTACAATTTATAGCAAACGTTATACCAGAATGGAGAGCATCCACCCAAGATGACATGGTACGATTACATCACACGATGACATCACACCACCCATTACCTCATTTGGAGTGTCTTCTCCTTGTGGATCCGTAGCTTTAGTTTTCATGTCATTGTTGGGCAGGTTTCCCACAGGTTTAGTCCTTTGTGCCAAAATCCTCAGACTTCTCTTCTTCACTCCCGAGGGTCTGGGGGGCTCCCGTCTCTCCCTGGGGGCTGTCCTCTGCTTCTTCTGGAGGGGCTTCTCTTCCTCAGCGTCCTGTGCAGCCATCGTGGGGCATAGCCTCTTCCTGCCCACAACCCTTGCATCTTCTCCCAGTTTCCTCTTGGGGGATGGGGAGCTGCAGCTCTCACCTGGTGATTGTACAGGGTCTCTGCTGCCCACAAGGTCTCCCATGAACCTTACTTTAGGGGCCCTGAGGACTCTTCGGGATATTTCTACAGGTCTTCTTCTGTCCGCTGTTTGCTTTGGGGCTCTCTTAACTGCAGAAGCATCGTTTCCCAGTTCACTGGCCTGATCTGGCTTTTGGAAGAGCTCTTTGAAACTGGCCAGATCTTCCAGGGGTTGGGATTTTTCCTTAAATGTTCTTCGCCGACTCTTGACACAAATTACATTTCCTGCTGAGTCCGGGTTCTGCCTTGAAGTTTCCTTAAACACTTTGGTATTGTTCTCATCACCTACTGGTTCTCCGTGCATGGTTTCCCCTGCTGTTTGGATGGGCTCTCCGAGTACTGAGAGCTCTTCTAGGTCTACTTTTCCCAGTGGTGACTGGAGCCGCCTCCTTCTACTTGCTGGCCTGGTGACTGGTCCGGCTGGCGGAGATTGGCAGGGCACTGCAGTGATTTTAACGTCACTCACCGGTTCTTTGGCCTGACCTGGCTTTTGGAAGGGCTCGTTGAAACTGCACGAGTCTTCCACGGGTTGGGTCTTTTCCTTAAATGTTCTTAGCCGACGCTTGATGCCAATTACATTTTCTGCAGGGTTGAGTCTCTGCCTTGAAGTTTCCTTAATCACTTTGCTGTCTTTTTCATCACATACAGGCTCTCTCTGCATATCCCCTGGTGTCTGTGTGGGCTTCCTGGGAGCTGAGGGCTCTTCTACACCCACTTTCTCTGGCGGTGACTTGAGCCGCCTCTTTCTACTTGCTGGCCTGGTGACTGGTCCGGCTGGTGGAGATTGGCAGGGCACTGGAGCGATTTTACCATCGCTCACTGGTTCCTTGGCCTGACCTGGCTTTTGCAAGGGCTCGTTGAAACTGCACGAGTCTTCCACAGGTTGAGCCTTTTCCTTCAATGTTCTTAGCCGACTCTTGATGCCAATTACATTTTCTGCCAGGACCAATTTCTGCCTTGAATTTTCCTTAAACGCTTTGCTGTCTTTTTCATCACATACAGGCTCTCTCTGCGTATCCCCTGATGTCTGTGTGGGCTTCCTGGGCGCTGAGGGCTCTTCTGCATCCACTTTCCCTGGTGGTGACTTGAACCGTCTCTTTCTGCCTGTTCGCCTGGTGACTGGCTCTACTGCTGGAGATTTATAGGGTACTGTGGTGGTTTTCTCATTAGTCATTTGTTCCTCTGCATGATCTGGGG